GGGAAATAGCGAAGAGGGATGGGATTCCTACAGCCTCTTCAGGCCACGGACGTGCCCACTGAAGCCGAAGGTATGGCGAAGGATGTCATAATGGACGTCGTTATCTTGCATCTGCCCCGTCGAAGACAACGGGAACCGTAAGGCGGGGAATATGCAGCCTACAGAGAGCACTCTTGTCTGACGCGAGCACTATAAAACTATGGGCAGTGGAGATGTTGTTCTTACGGGCTACTTACTTACGTGCCACCTCTTGGGTGGCTTAATCTTCATCAATCAATCACTCAGAAGAATAAGGCACTACGGGCTCACCATAGCCTGTGCTACTTGGAACTTTGTTCCAGGTAGCGAATCTTTAACAACAACAATCACTCTGAAGGTGTTCCACAGTATTCCTAGGTCAAACACCGCAGGCAGTTCAGGCAGTAGGCGGAATCTACCAACCGTAGACGATGGAGATGTTCAGCCAGGCAGGAGTGTCCAATCCAGAGGGGAGTGAGGCCTGTGTTGTGAAGAACCATCCCGAAGTTTTGCCAGAGAAGACCATAAAGCTGACGCCAACGCCTAGCAACTCACTAGGAAGCCGCCCGTAAGTTCCAGAGGCACCTGTGTAAAGTCCTGGAGACCATGTGCTACCGCAGTGTGCATAAACTCGAACATCTTCATCTCGCGTTTATGACTGGTTTGCTTCCAGTTTGTGTTTATGTACGAGGCATTATTAAGACCGATGTATTGTACTCCTCTCTTGAGGTTATCTTGAGATGATTTCGGGGCTTTTTTTTTAGTGTCCCCACGGCCCAGTCCTCGACCAGGCCTCCACCCCCAGGAAGCAGCCCGTGACAGCTGACTAACACCCAGGTACCTATTTTACTGCTAGGTAACATACTATCCTCAACTATATCTATTACAGTATGCTTATGTATATATTTATTTATTTAGAAAAAAATACAATGCATTTTCTAACAAAAAAATACATTAGTTTATAAGCCAAGTTGTGGTAGTTAGTTCATTTATTTATTATGCACCCCATACCCATCTTGTGGGCGGTAATGGAAAGGGTTACAGAGGCACATAATGGGCTTAGGGACTGAACCCCACAATTCATTTAGCTAAGCAAGTTACAATCTTGATACACAGTTTACATTTGGTCAGGTCTACATCAGCAGATAATGAGAATTCCCAGAGATACTTGTAACCGAGTCTAAGCCGAGCAGTAGTAACATCTAGAAGTCAGCTGATATTATTGGATGAACCATAGATGTGTGGCTCCTCTTGCATGATAGTATGATACTGCAATAGATGAACAGGAGTGGGGACACCCCTCCGGGAACTGAATTTACCTGAGGGCCACTAACACTAGTGGCCTCGACGAGGGCAGTAAGCCGGCGGCTTGTCAAAGGTCCCCCCATTTGTTCTGATGATCTTTTCCAGCTGTATTTTAAAACCCAGCACAGGTTTGGCATTTACTGCTTCGGCGGGTAGGCGGTTCCACTGGTTTACAACCCTGTGGGTGAAAAAACATTCTGGCTTGTTGAGTGTGAACCTTGCTCCTTGTTCGTGTAACATCTGACCTTTTAAAGACATTGTCCTGATCGACATTCTCCAAATTGTTTAGTATTTTAAAGGTTTCTATGAAGTCCGCCCTGTCATGCCTGGTTTGTGGTGTTGTTAGCCCTGTGGCCCTCAACCGTTCCTGATACAACAGGTGACTAAGCTCTGGTATGATTTTTGTCGCAAGACATAGCTCCATAGCTCTGGTGAGACATGGCTCCATAGCTCTGGTGAGACATGGCTCCAGAGCAGCTGTGTCTTTCTGAAGATGAGGTCTCCATGCCTGGATGCAATAATTCATGTGGGGGCGCACCAGCTACAGTATAAGTAGACCTAGGCGTGCGGTTACACAACTGGTCAGGCTCCGGTTACACAACTGGTCAAACTTCGGTTACACAACTGGTCGGGCTCCGGGGGTGTCACTTGGGTTGTGGGTTGTGCATGGTCGGGCTTCGGTTCGTGCATGGTTGTGATCCAGAAGTTGTTTGTTTGATATGTTGATGCTAGGCTTGCGGTTAGACAACTGGTCGGGCTTCGGTTACACAACTTGTCGGGTTCCGATTACATAACTCCGGGGATGTGACTTGTTGGGCTTTGGGTTGTGCATGGATGTGCTCCGGTTCGTACGTGGTTGTGCTCCAGTGGTTGTTTGTGTACTAGTGCTCCAGGTTTGTTTGCTAGGGCTCTGTTTATATGTTTGCTAGAAATTCGAGTTTCTTATTTTTTTTATATAGTTCAATTGTTTGATATGGCTCCATAGTTGGTTTCTTGGGCAAGTTGAGGATTCTAGGTAGCACTAAGAAGATTTTTGTTTGGTCGAGCTAGGAATGGAGCTTGGTTGTGCTCTGGGACTGTTTAGCTTTGTGGGGGTTGGATGAGATGTATACTTGCTAGGCTTAAGGTTAGACAACTGGTCGGGGTCTGGTTACACAACTGGTCAAGCTTCGGTTACACAACTGGTCGGGCTCCGGTTAAATAACTGGTCGGGCTCCGGGGGTGTCACTTGGGCTGTGGGTTGTGCATGGTCAGGCTTCGGTTAGTGCATGGTTGTGCTTCAGCGGTTGTTTGTGTACTAGTGCTCCAGGTTTGTTTGCTAAGGCTCTATGTTTATATGTTTGCTAGAAATTCGAGTTTCTTTTTTTGTATATACAATTGTTTGCTATGGGTCAATAGTTGGTGTCTAGGGCAAGTGGAGGATTTTAGGTAGGGCAAATGAGATTTTTGTTTGGTCGAGCTAGGAATGGAGCTTGGTTGTGCTCTGGGACTGTTTAGCTTTGTGGGGGTTGGATGAGATGTATACTTGCTAGGCTTAAGGTTAGACAACTGGTCGGGGTCTGGTTACACAACTGGTCAAGCTTCGGTTACACAACTGGTCGGGCTCCGGTTAAATAACTGGTCGGGCTCCGGGGGTGTCACTTGGGCTGTGGGTTGTGCATGGTCAGGCTTCGGTTAGTGCATGGTTGTGCTTCAGCGGTTGTTTGTGTACTAGTGCTCCAGGTTTGTTTGCTAAGGCTCTATGTTTATATGTTTGCTAGAAATTCGAGTTTCTTTTTTTTGTATATAGTTCAATTGTTTGCTATGGGTCAATAGTTGGTGTCTAGGGCAAGTGGAGGATTTTAGGTAGGGCTAATGACATTTTTATTTGGTCGAGCTAGGAATGGAGCTTGGTTGTGCTCTGGGACTGTTTAGCTTTGTAGGGGTTGGATGAGATGTATACTTGCTAGGCTTAAGGTTAGACAACTGGTCGGGGTCTGGTTACACAATTGGTCGGGCTTCGGTTACACAACTGGTCGGGCTCCGGTTAAATAACTGGTCGGGCTCCGGTTAAATAACTGGTCGGGCTCCGGTTAAATAACTGGTCGGGCTCCGGGGGTGTCACTTAGGCTGCGGGTTGTGCATGGTCAGGCTTCGGTTAGTGCATGGTTGTGCTTCAGCGGTTGTTTGTGTACTAGTGCTCCAGGTTTGTTTGCTAAGGCTCTATGTTTATATGTTTGCTAGAAATTCGAGTTTCTTTTTTTTGTATATAGTTCAATTGTTTGCTATGGGTCAATAGTTGGTGTCTAGGGCAAGTGGAGGATTTTAGGTAGGGCAAATGAGATTTTTGTTTGGTCAAGCTAGGAATGGAGCTTGGTTGTGCTCTGGGACTGTTTAGCTTTGTGGGGGTTGGATGAGATGTATACTTGCTAGGCTTAAGGTTAGACAACTGGTCGGGGTCTGGTTACACAACTGGTCAAGCTTCGGTTACACAACTGGTCGGGCTCCGGTTAAATAACTGGTCGGGCTCCGGGGGTGTCACTTGGGCTGTGGGTTGTGCATGGTCAGGCTTCGGTTAGTGCATGGTTGTGCTTCAGCGGTTGTTTGTGTACTAGTGCTCCAGGTTTGTTTGCTAAGGCTCTATAATAAATGATAAATAAATAAATGTTTATTCAGGTAAAATACATACAAGAGGTTATACAAAAATTGATAGATTTATAGATAGGGCTAGTATATATACAATGTCTAAAGCTACTATTACGCAAAGCGTTTCGGGCAGGAAAAACATTAAAGACTAAAACTTAATACTAATTGAAATTAAAGTATAAAATGTGTTGAGAACAGATAAAAATAAAAATAAAAAAGAGGGGAACATGGCAGAAAAAGCAGCACAAATACAATTAGGTCGACAAACAGCGTTTTTTAAAGAAGCAGACATGGGTTGACAATATAGGGGTAAGGTAGGTTACATGGAGTTAATTAGGTAGTACTTAGTTTTTATCTTAAACTGGTTGAGAGAGGTACAGTCTTTAACATGATTGGGAAGGTCATTCCACATTCTGGGTCCCTTGATTTGTAGAGCTCCGTTTATATGTTTATATGTGTGAACTATGTTTATATGTTTGCTAGAAATCCGGGTTTCTTTTCTTGTTGGGGGTTCCGCAGCGCGGCCCTCACGGGATTGGGGGTGCTCCGACGGAACCCCCGAAGTGATAAGCCAAGAATACGAGATCTCTCTTCATTGTATTTGATTTAATCATTATAACGGCTATCCAATAATTTTATTTCTGTATAATAATTTATGATTATTCACTAATCATTATTAGTCACCATAATTAATTCCACTTTAATCATCTATTTATTCGTTATAATGAGCTACTAGGCTTCATTTAAGGATTATCAATTATTAAATCATTAATTATGACTATCATTAATTAATTATTTGTTTAAATAATTAATTATTATTATTATTATTATAAAATAAACAAGTCCCCCACTCAGTGAGCGTTTTCTTCCAACCGCAGAAATCCGGGTTTCTTTTTTTGTATGTGTGTGCGCGCAGAAATAATATGAATAAAACAATTAACATCGTGTAGTGCACTCTATATATCAAAGTATATTACTTTGAAACCCGTATCAGTCACTCAACAAAAAATTGGGCTACTCTTATTACAAACTCGCTACTTTTTGACCGTCAGGTCGCTACTTTGAACAATTTGTATCTGGCAACCGTGCTCAAGACGACACATTAAACACTTAGTGCTTGTGTGACCGTCAGCGGTAACACGTCACACGGGCTCACCATAGCCCGTGCTGCATGGACACTTCGTCCAGAGAAGGTAAACCTCTAGCAACAACAACAGGTAACACGTCACCATAGCTACACTACGCGTGCAGTCGTCTACATGTGCACTTATTAACGGCACACTTGGAAAATCTCTGGTTCCATTGCTGTGGCAGAACAGAAGCAACATACCCTTTCACCATATGCCGCTGTTCACCTAGCAGTTAACAGGTATCTAGGTTCACCCTTTTTCTGTTCATTGTCTTCTCCTACTCTCCCTTGCTATCCTCTTTTTATTCCTATTACTTCTCCTTCGGTTGTTATAATAGGAGCTGCCTCGTATGGGCCAATAGGCCTTCTGCAGTTCTCATTAATACTACTATCCCCTACACCTGACTTTCCTCCTCAGCTCTCTCTTGCCTATTTATTGCCTGTCTCTACCTCCTCATCACAATCGACTTGAGAATGGTCCAGGACGGACCGAAACGTCGTCGTCCCTTGAACTTCTAGTGTGTGGTCTGGTCAACAGGTATCTAGGTGTTAGGCAACTGTTCAGGGTTACATCCTAGGAAAGGTCAGAAGTTGGCATACACCCTAGGGAAACCTTGCCTCTGGTGCCTATTGTAGGGAAGGACAGTAGTTTATTATTTATTGCCCGAAACGCTATGCGTACTAGTGGCTTTAGGTATTGTATGTACTACCTCTATCTTTAAATGGGTCCGTCCACAAGCTACACAAGCTAATAATTACCACAAGCTACACAAGCTTCACAAAGCTTCCTGGCAATACGTTAGTAATGAATAAATATATGTTAGGTTAGGCTGACCTAACCTAACTTAACCAAACCTAACCTAATCGACGCTTGGATCGTTGACTTTATTTGGTGTCACCAGCTCTTTATTTTCGTCTAATTTCTTAATAAAAATAGACTTTCAGATTAAAATTGTTTTCTCGTGTTGTACATTCAGCACCAACATTATAATGAGTAAATATATCATATTTATTCATTACTAACATAAGCTTTCTGAAGCTTGTATAGCTTGTGGTAATTAGACGGACCACTTTAAATCAATGTTTGTACTGTAACTCTGCAACTATGTACGTACTTTTCCTAAATAAATTATTATTATTATTATATATTGGAAGTAAATCAACAAATGCAATACAGCTTAAGATATGTTAACATCAATAAAAATGATGGAAAGTTCCTTGGCCTATACATAGACAAGAGACTCAACTTCAGCACCCACATACGACACATAACTAAGAAAGTCTTTAAAACAGTTTGTATACTCTCTAAAGTCAGATATTATGTACCTAACTCTGCTTTCCTCTCGCTATACTATGCACTAATTTATGCCAATCTTATTTGTGGTATCTCTGCATGGGGTTCAACCTCTGCGAACCACCTCAAGCCCATCATCACCCAGCAAAAATCTATCAGAACAGTAACAAAATCTGTTTTCGAACAACACTCGGCCCCCTTTTTTAAATCCCTAAGCCTGCTAAACATAACCTCACTCCACAGTCTAATGTGCCATTTACATTTACAAAATCCTGTTTTTAAATGCAAATCCTGCTCTGAAACTTTCCCTGGACAGATGTAATAGGACCCATTATCACCACACCAGAAATAAATATATCATTGATATCCCCAGTTAAACTTAATCTGTGTAAACACACTATGCAAATAAAGGGACCTAGTCGATGACCGGGCCGCGGGGACGCTAAGCCCCGGAAGCACCTCAGGGTAACCTCAAGGTCAAGGTAAGGTAGTCTATGGAACTCGCTCCCTAACGAATTGAAAAACTGTCCAACTTTTGCCTTATTTAAAAAAAAAAAAAAAAAAAACTACCTAATTTCATTTTCAGAGTTTCTTACCTAGTGCTTTAACTCGCACTGTATCTAGTGGTACCCAATCCCCCAATATATGTATCTAAGCCATGTAACTTTACCATTGTAATCATCTTATATCATAGTTGTTGAACACACATTGTGTGCTACTCAATTCCTCAATATATATGTACCTAAGTCATACAACTTTACCATGGTGATCATTGCTGTCATCTTATATGTGCTATCAATGTGCTTTAATGTGCCTTCTAATCTTTGTCAAATTATCAATCAAGCTATCAGCGCTATCAATCAGAGCTATCAATGTGCTTTAATGTGCCTACTAACCTTTGTCAAATTTTCTTACAATGTACCTGTTAACATTTTATAAATTTTGCTAGAAATTACCAACTTTATATTATCTAACAGATCTTTATATTATCTAACATTTTATATTATCTAACTTTATATTATCTAACTTTATATTATCTAACTTTATATTATCTAACTTTATATTATCTAACTTTATATTATCTAACTTTATATTATCTAACTTTATATTATCTAACTTTATATTATCTAACATTTTATAAATTTTGCTAGAAATTACCAACTTTATATTATCTAACAGATAATGTAAAGTTGGTAATTTCTAGCAAAATTTATAAAATGTTAACAGGTACATTGTAAGAAAATTTGACAAAGGTTAGTAGGCACATTAAAGCACATTGATAGCTCTCATTGATAGCGCTGATAGCTTGATTGATAATTAAGGACCTGCCTGAAATGCTCTACGTACTAGTGGCTTTACAAGAATGTAAATACACCATGTTACGTATTCTCATAAACCCAATGTATCTTCTTGTATATACAGTATATATAAATAAATTAAATAAATACAATTTATTATTATTATTATTTATATATACAAGAGTTCTTACATTCTTGTAAAGCCACTAGTACAGTAGCATTTCTGGCAAGTCCCTAATCCTAATATTCCCCAGTATACGACCCCGCCAAATTGTTTAACAACCAGGTAGCCATTTTACTGTTGGGTAAACATATAAGAACTCGATCCAATTCTAAAAAATATTTCTTGTTAGGCTGTTATCTTAGGATAGGCTGGGTAAGGTTACGACTTGCCAAGCTATAAACCCTGGCATGTCATTGTGATGCGTCTCAACATCACCACTCGTGTAGTCATCAGAAGAAAACCTTCATGCAAACTGCACATCCCCGTGGCGTAATGGTAAGAGGCTTGCCTGGCATTTCACGAGCGCTTTGTCCTGGGTTTGTATCCTGGCTGGGGGCGACTTACTGGGCACAAATCCTTAACTGTATCCTCTGTTTAGCCCAACAGTGAAATGGGTACCTGGTTGTTAAACGATTTGGCGGGTCATTACATTTGTACAAGAGTGTAAGAATTCTTGTATATATAAATAAATAAATAAATAAATAAATAAATAAAATAAAAATCATAATGACAATGAAGGATGTTAGGTTTTAAAATTTGTAGACAATTGTTTTGGATATGAAGTAATTTATATCCATTTAATTATCAGTTAAACTTAAGAGCATGGTTGTGGAGCTGGAAGTCTGGTAGTAAAATGGCTGCTGATACAATAGTCGGGTAAAAATAAAGGACACTACAGAAGGCTTATTAGCCTATACGACACAGCTCTTATTGGCCAATAGGAGCAGCCTCTTATAAAGAAATCACATTAGTGTGATTTCTTTGTGCATTTCAAGAGAAGTATTGGATGTCACTCCTAGTCACACCCAGAGTTCTTACAGGCAATGTGTTAAAACCTTAATTTGGCTTCAATTGAAACCTCAGGACCCCTAGAGGATTTAGTTGAAACCTAGGTTGCTTTGCTTTTATTGTCGTGGTGTAGTGGTCTAAGGTGTGTGCCTGGAAGTATCCAGAACATAGGCTCAAATCCTCTCATGGCTCCACTGATTTTCTCAGTGATTCATCACATTAATGTGATTTCTTTGTGCACACTTCAGTCATATTACCCCCAAACTCTTTGCCTTTATAGAGAATGTAATTTAAGCTTTCTTCATCCTTCTAATCCCTGGGATTAAATTGCTCAACCTTTGTTTACCTCATTTAAGGACCTCAAATTGTCCTTTCTATAGTGTGGCAACCAAAATTTGAATTGCATGATCTAAATGTATCCTAACAAGAGCAAGATACAGCAGAAGAAGAATAATCTCTTATTGGCAAACTCATTTAGAGAAAAATCCCAGCTGATAGCTAGTAACCGTATCATCATTACCTAGCCTCAGAATCCTAAATTTTCAGTATTAACCGTATCCACCCCATAAAGGAAGAAACTGGGTAATGATGTTGATATAATAAAGAATGAAATATATGATGTAAAATAACTTTTGTCTTTGCAGAGTTGTTGCAGTAAAATAAACAAAAAAAGGAAGAAATCATATTTTTATCATGGAGAATATTCATAACATGAAGAATTGTGGTTGGGTAACAGAAGAACCAATAAAACTGAAAGAATACTTCAGTGAATATCACACTTTACTGGATAGTGTTTGTGGTCTTCCTCACAATGAGAAGGTGAGTCTACAAGTGTTGTCATAGTAGTACAGTACAGTAGAAAGAGTATAATGGTTTGGGAGTTTATAAAAGTGGTGTTGTAACTTAGATTCTGGAGTACATTATTATTATTAACATCTTTAATGGCAAAATTAATTACAATTTTGCCTAATCTAAGGATTTCAACTAAGTCTTATTATAATTTATATTCTTAGTTTCTTCATATGTAAAGTCTATAATTCCTGGAATTAGGTCATCAGCCCCAACTTTGTTTTGAACCTAGCACTGGGACAGTCAGTGCATGCTTTAAGGAGCATTTCAGTGTCAGGCTCAAAAAGTATTTGTTCATATTTACTCAAAGCCATGACTCATGACATTTTATAGCTTTCCATAACACAACACAATTGCAAATTTAATTATTCAGCAAATTAAAAAAAATGCAATAATGACATTTTGTATGTCCACAGATAGACAATGTTACTGCCATACGCAATTTTTGTTCTTCGCTGGGCACAGAGGAAGACAGTATAGACACCAACCTGCTAAGCCTGCAGAATGTAGAAAAGGAGTGTAGGTAAGCATGAAAACATAGCCAGCAAATATTTTATATTAATACAGCAAAGTAACTACAAGTTTTAAGTCAAAATTTGATGAAGAAAATGTATCATCCACCCTTATTGAAATATTAAAGTGGATGATGGGTGAATTAATTGTGCTATGCATTTATATAATTTATATATTTTGAGTTTAGGATGTCATTTTTACCCCATATATCTGGTACAGGAGTCGGATTATTAATAGTTAGTAAATCATTGACTAGCAGTAATAATTATATATTGACATTTATGTATAAAGTGCCATTTCAATGCTTATCTTCCCTTTAGACCGTATGATAAGGATTGTTCTTGAGGCTAAAGGTCTGGATGACTTTGATAAACTATAAATTGTTCTGTTGTTCTTGGTGCTAGATGTACTCATCACACCATGAACATCGTGTGTTGTGTTATGTGGTATTGGTGCTGATGGCAAGTGTAAAATGGAAATTAAACCTTTACTTGGTTATTGTTTTTAATGATACTTATTGTTACATGGCAATAGCAGACCAAGCATGGAGGGGGGTTCCCTGTTTTCTCTGTTTACCTAGGCGGCATATGAAACGGTGACATGCAAATGGGTAGCTTTATTTATTCTGAATATGTGTTATTGATGTTGAGAACTATAGATTGAGCTGTTGTTCTTTATTCTCTATTGTGTAGAGAATACAGAAGTATGTTCTTTATTTATGTATTCTGTATTACGGCCAGATTGTATTATAATCTGGCTGTAATTCAGGTAAATACACTCAGTGTCTGTCCCCTGACACAATGAGCTATTATAATTCTAGAGGTCTGGTTGGTTTTGGTATACTGTACATTGTATACTTTTCTGGGTGCTAAACGTATGGTTGATAGAATTATTGATTATTGCACTATTCAAGGGAAATATTGTAATTTTGGCTAGGTTCTTTTTTGAAATCGTGCTTGTAGTGAGATTGTAACTTATGTTTGATCACTAAAAGTTTTGGGGGGTGTTAAGATCATGCAGTACAGTACTTTACATTCATAGTGTCATTTCATAAATTTTGCAAGCAGCTGTGTAGATGCTTTATGTATGCATTGACCCTTAAACTGCGTAATACATCATACATATAGCTGGGGTGAGTAACTGTTGCGGAACTGCACACCATAGCTATGTATGGTTGGGAGTACCAAGTATGATTTAAAAGTCCCACGGCTACAGGTGGTTCACATCAGCTTCCTGAGGGCTCTTCTAAACAGACGCCATTTAAAAAAAAATCATGGGCAACGTTCATGCGAGAGCCTCGATATTGAGTGAGCAACCAAGGCTGGTGCATGTTGCATGAACTAACAACACTGCTATTCAGCTTGTGATCACTGCATCGCCTAAAAATGTCAAAATATACATGTAACTAGTATTATATAGCAATGATAGTATTACAGAAGACCCCTGACTGTGATAAAAATGACCAAGATTCTGATATGCCAATCTTCATCAACACTGTATATACCAGCAGCTCACACACACTGCTTAGATCGACGGCGGCTATTTAGTCTTCTTGTAGGACCAAGCTAAGGGTTCGTGGACTGCCCAAGGTAAGCTGCTGCTCTCAGCTCAATCGCCTCCATATGTCACCTCTGTGAACATAAAAACATCATTAGCCAGATGGACAGTACACTGGGTAACCCTGGAATAACACTCATTCCTGGGGCTTGACTTTGTGACTTGTAGCCACAACCTAGATGACGCTGATCTTAATACGCCACCCACCAGATGTCATCCATATCGACCTCCTCTTTTTAACTGAGGCAGGAAACCGGAGCCATTCACCGCTGCCACGCCACCACCAACAGATGGCGTTGTCTACATATTGTCCAATACTAGGGTAGTTGGAGTGCAGATCTATAGATGGCGCTGAAATTGCCACTCCACACTCCGACGATGGTGTCGATACCGTAACAGGAACAAATAATTATATAGACAAGACTTCATAGAAGATGTTCATTAGTGTATGAACAAGTTTGCCAGTGTAATAATCGCTTGAATGACTGAAAAGGTTGCAATCGGAGTAAAGTTGTTGTTATTCACTATTTACATAGGTCATTACTTTTATTGCACTCATTTAGATCGTACTGGTATTTGTTTTTCAGTGTTGATCTGCTTAGTGTTGACGACGAATTAGTAACACAAGATGTATTTGATGGCCCAATTCGACACTCAGGTCGCCTGACTAACTGGTATGCTGGTAAGTGATATTTTTACTTAATACAGTATTTTGCTGTGTCTTAATTAATGTATCGTAAAAAAAATCTGTTTGTAGATTGTCTTATAGAAGGTGCAGATTCCAAATTTGAGATCATGCAAGTCATTTTTTTTCCTCACTAAAATTTGTAATGCTGGTGAAAGAAGGTTGGACAGGTGCTAATTAGATGGGTAGAACAGTCAGAGGCACACAAATGATAGGTATCCATGCGGTGAAGTGTATGCCGAGGCAATGTACACCCTGTTAAGAGATGAAGTCTCAAGGAAAACCCGAATAACTTTTCTGATGATCTGTGTAGAGCTAGAGCTTCAGTGGGTGAATGCCGAATGGAAAGTAAGGGCTGCCGACTTTCCCCAGACCAGTAGTGGTGACTAGTTTCCTTAATAGTTTGATAGTTCAGAGCAGTTATTGACATTCCATATGTTGCCAGTTTTCACTCTGCGAAGTTGAGAGATTTGTAGTGGTGTTGTCATAACAAGCAGTGTCCCTCAGTGGTTAATGAGTGCTCTCTGCGGTCTTCCCTCTACATTTGAGGCAAGACTATTTGCAGATATTTTATAAGTCAAGGGTTGATAGAAGTGTCTTAGTGTCATGGCATCTTAGTGTCATGGATGGACCCTGGCACCTGGTTGGGGAGGAACTGATGAAGCATTCCACAATAAAGTAAATAAGGCCCATAGGCATGGGATAGCAAAGACAGTTAATATAATCTGAGGGTCAATTAAATAATTTTACAGAAGTACTTCATGATGTTTTACTTTCAATATATGTAAAAGTAAAAGATAATTAGCAGTTCCTGTGGTGCAGTGGTAACACACTCGCCCCGCACACTGCGGGCGATTTGGACTGGGAGGTTTGACTAGGTGCCAATCCTTAACTGTACTTGTCTGTTCACCCAGCAGTGAATGGGTACCTGGTTGTTAAAACAATTTGGCAGCTCGTATTCCAGGGAAAATTAAGATTAAGTATCAATTCAAAATGCTGTGTGTGCTAGTAGCTTTACTCGAATGTAAGAACTCTTGTATAATTTACTATTAACCACTGCACTTTAAGCTCCTTTAGGCGCTCAGAGTTGTGCTTTTTTTTTTTTTTTATTAGGCTACATTTAAATGTTTTTTTTAATGTTTTCATTACTCTTTGTGTTTTGAAATGGAAATAGTTGAGTTTGGAAACATTTTGACATTAATTTTACCTGAACATTTATAAGAACAACAAAAATATGTCCTGGACAATTGCACTAAAAATTTTTTGCCGAAAACAGGTGCGCAGTGCAGTGGTTAAAGGCATTTCCAGGTAAAATAAATAAGTATGACTGTATTGGCTTATAAATACCCAACACAAGTATGAGGCTGCAGCACCTGGTAGATGCACAGCATGAGGCTGCAATACTTGGTAGATGCCCAGTATGAGGCTACAGCACCTGGTAGATGCCCAACACGAGGCTGCAGCACCTGGTAGATGCCCAACACGAGGCTGCAGCACCTGGTAGATGCCCAACACGAGGCTGCAGCACCTGGTAGATGCCCAACACGAGGCTGCAGCACCTGGTAGATGCCCAGCACGAGGCTGCAGCACCTGGTAGATGCCCAGCACGAGGCTGCAGCACCTGGTAGATGCCCAACACGAGGCTGCAGCACCTGGTAGATGCCCAGCACGAGGCTGCAGCACCTGGTAGATGCCCAGCACGAGGCTGCAGCACCTGGTAGATGCCCAACACGAGGCTGCAGCACCTGGTAGATGCCTAACACAAGACTGCAGTATGTGGTAGATGCATAACACAAGACTGCAGTAACTGGTAGGTGCCCAGCATGAGGCTGCAGTGACTGGTAGGTACAGTACCTAGCACGAAGCTGCAGTGAATGGTAGGTGCCCAGTATAAGAATGCAGTGACTGGTAGATACCAATATAACAAAATGGAAAGGAGAAGAGTATATCTTATATTCGTCCCGTGAATACTAGTGAGCAGTAGTACAGGATAAATTATGTTCAGAGGCTTTTAGATTCTACATTATATTTACTTATATTTTTCCAGGTTCTTTCCAAGATGGAATCATTCCAGCAGGGGCAGCAGAAACCTTGGCAACACTTGAGGCCCAGACTATCGAGCTGCACCTGCGCAACACTGTCAGAGATTATGCTCGGCTGCGCAATAGGTTACTGAAATACTTCTCAACAGTACGAATGGTGAGTTAACCCTCAGTAGCTAGTGGATGTTTTAAGCAACATGAGCATTTCCTAAATGTGGGATGTGTCTCAGGATCATTATGTATGTCTAAAAGTTTTACCTGATTTTGAACTACCCATAAAGTACTGTATTTTTTTTTATCTCCGCGACAGGTTATGGGTGATGACAACAGCCCTGAACCAACCCGAGGTGAGGATAACGCCACCAGTGAATGCATGCGAGACATCATATTAAATATTCGTGTTCAGAGACCATATCACAAGAAGACACACATGAAAAAAGCATGCAAGTATGTATTAAATTTGTTCTTAAATTGCCTTAAATATTTTTAAGATGTTTAGCATAGTCAATTACCTTTATGTAAACTAATAAAATACAGTATTTTACACAGCAAATACCCAGTTCTACAGTACTTTGCATGCTGATGTGTCGTATCCTCGTACTTAAGGATACTTAGGGTTCTGGTAGTACAGTTGGGTTCGCTCTCGATGCACAATCGAGAATTCCAGGTTCGAATCCTGGGCGGGACAGAAATAGTTGGGCACATTTCTTTTCACCTAGCACTGAGTAGGTACTCAGGAGTTAGTCAGCTTGTTGTGGGGTTGCATCCTGGGTGGGGGTCAGTAATTCAGCCTTGGTGGGGGGGGGGGACTCGATATAAGTCTACTGTGTATAAATACACTCTGGCTTCCTGTCCCTCGATACAATTAATTATGATTTAAAATTATTAACACAAGAAATAGGCATACCAAGCAGCCAATTTTGGCCGTTACAGCAAAGCTATAATTTAATGACATCTCATATTCATGAACATTTTTAATAAATGTATAATTATCGAAGCTTGATAGTTGAATGATGGCATGGTAATAACCTTATAAGAGTACAAAAATATAGCCGAGTAGGGACAAGCTGAGGGAAGAGCCTAAACTCCTGTTTTACATCATACAGTATAGTAGGGAACCTGGATGTCTGAGCTCATCATGCTTCATTGACACTTCAATACTTGAATTCAGCTTTAATAAGCTCTGTCCAATACATACTATCTGAAATAATACAAAGCAAATATACTAACAATACCTCAAAAAGGGAAATTACAAATTTCATGATGATGAACCTTACAACAAGACCAAATTACTACTGTTGAATGGCTATGATGACTATAAATATTACAATGTCCCAGAATGACTCAAACTTTCCTAACTGGAGCCATTCATCAGCCATTAATTTGTCAACTGTCATGGATATTTCAGTTTTATGGGAATATCTTTTGACATTATAAAAGTATATCTTATCTACTGCTAATTTTTTCTTTCAGCCGATTTCCTACACACAGTCAAGAGTTGCTACTTCTCGGTTCACAGAAACTAAGTGACTTGCGGGATGCCCTCATTTGCATCAATGATCTTGGAGTTAACATGGATTTATCTGCAGATCCTCAGTTTTATCAGATGTCTCACTTACCCAACAACTCTGTAAGTGAGCGAAGAGATATGTTAACTGTACATATATGACTTGTAAGGCATGTGTGTTTTTCCTATATATTTCTATATTCTAGGGCATGTGGTACTTTCCTTCGTATAAAAGGATGGTATAATTTAGTACTAACCTTAACTTAGACCACAATTTAACATTTTCAGTATGTCACTCTTCACCTTACTATTGTGCTATATATTCATTTACATTCTGAACATAAGGCATTTACTCATCCCTCATAGACAATATCCCACTCTCCTTGTGACATTACAAGCTCCATCCTTGGCCAATGCAACTTACCATCTCCTGCCATAAAGGGCATATTTTCTAAATGCTGTTGCCAGGCCTGAGCAGGAAGAAGGAAGACAGTGGAAAAATTTTCAATCCAGCCACGAATGACCATCAAAAGGCACATTCCTTTCCCGATTCCTTGCTTCTGGCAAGGTTTCTTCAGTTATGTGACCATCTATCATGTCCTGTGCCTTGTGGCTGCTCTCTGTTAGATGTGCCAGCCCAGTAAGTTTTGCATTTAGCCACATTTAGTGTGGTTTTGCAGTCTGTATTAATAATGCAAAATCAAACTAAGTATGATGTAAAAATGTACTATCTTACCTGAGGGCGGGTGTCTTTGGGCTTACCGGAATTCCCTTTGTGGTGCACTTTATTAACCCTTGAACCATGAACCCTTGTTCCAATGCATGGCTGTCTCGTTTTATATTTGGCTAGACAGTTTCTTGCTCTGGACCAATAATCTATGGAAGTTAATCACCCTTAAGGCCTTGTTTCCTGAAGATATTTATAAGCAGGGGTTTGGAAAAATAAACACATTCTTAAGATAGTATGTGTGTGTTATGAACACATTCTTAAGTTGTCTTCCTCACATTCTACATTTTTGTCATCAGTGTTTGGTGATGGTTCATCCCTCGCTGGTCTCCACAGCAGTGGGCTGTTGGGTCCAAAATGTGTTCATTGCAGCAAACGTTTACTTTGTCACCTCTGGACCCTTGCTTTTTACCATTTTAATTTTCTTATCTTTTTGTGGCTGTGGTGACTTGCCCAAGGGGCAACTGAATAAACTTTGCTCAGAAATAAGGCAATGAGGGTATGTGAAGTGCAACTTTCTGAGCTGTCTCACCTTCTGTGTTTTCTTCTTTGGGAAGTGGGTTGAAAGTTACACTACTGGTGATGGTGGTGGCAGTCTGGCTGGCAACTAGTTTATTGGTAAATAAACTGTGCAGAGAGTAGCTGTGCACTTCTTGGCATCCTGCTTTGTGCATTTTTATGGTTATTTAGTGCTGGATTAAGAATTCTCCAGCATCTCCCTTCCTCCTAGGATAACCAGGTGGGAGGCAATTAGAAAACATCCCTGCTGCATTGTTTATATGGAAAGTTGCACTGGGCCAAGCTAGAGTTCACAAATGTCTCGGTTAGAGTTGAATATTGTCTCAATTCATGACCGAGTACCCAGCTCAGAGAGGAGCATTTCATCTTTATAGACTGGCCCCCTTTCAGTAGTTCCCTGGAGGTTAAGCAGTTGTACTTCAGGGATGTACCAGGTCTCTTTAGACTTGTGTAGGTATCCCAAGAACCAAGACTAGAAATCTGGTTCTCACTTAGAATCAGAATGTCCCGATGAAACAAAACAAAGCACTGCTTAAAAGAAACAAATGAATGAGGAAAACAATGCAAGTACTGTAATAGTATTGGACTATAGGCACTATTCCCAGGGGCCTGACAGCCGAGTGGACAATGCTTCGGATTCGTAGTCCTGAGGTTCAGGGTTCGATCCCTGGTGGAGGAGGAAACAAATGGGCAGGGTTTCTTTCACCCCTGATGCCCCTGTTACCTAGCAGTAAATAGGTTCCTGGGAGTTTAGACAGCTGCTACGGGCTGCTTCCTGCGGGTGTGTAACAAAAAGATGGCCTGGTCGAGGACCAAGCCGCAGGGACGCTAAACCCTGAAATCATCTCAAGATAACCTCTCAAGATAACCCTTGGATGCCTAGGCAAACCTAAGCCATCCAGGGTCCATAACCACTACCAGCCTTACTGAAGACAGGGTCTGGGCTGGTGTGTAGTAGTAGTGGCCGGGTGAGTAAGAACTAAGGTTTAAACCCTTGCTACCCATCATTTGTAATATTTTCTTTGTTTCTTTAAAGCAGTGGTGTTCTGTTTTGTCTGGACTTTGTCTGTTTTCCTCAGTTTCTTTGTTGATCTCTGATCTCCATTAACCTCTTGGCTCGATGAGAGTGTGTACTAAAATCCGGACCCGATTTCTGGTGGGTCTGTGTAAGTCTTGAGGCCTAGTATAACCTGAAGACTTAGCAGTACCAGCATTTAAGCTCTAGGTAGCTATTGAGGGACAAACTAAAAGGGGGTAGTTCATTCCAGTCAAAACTTTTATTTTTAATATTTTAAAAAAGTCAACATTATGTAGTAAAACATACAATTTAGTTTTGCACTTGGATGCTTTGTTAGCACTCGTTTCTTGATCTCTTTGTATAAGTGCCGTCTTGTGCTCTCTCACACACATACACACACGCTTAGATTATTTATCCATAAACATAGTCTCTTAATGCCTCACTCAATATCTTCTTTGTTCTCAGCTTTATCAATTTCCTTCATGCTCTTTTCTAGATCAGTAAAGATTATCTTTTAATAAATTTTAAAGTTGCTTTTGTGCATAAATGTTGGCATTTAAATCTTATTATTATTATTATTATTATTATTACTGTACCTCTGTGATATATCATGACATGATTATATAGATTGATATAGAATTATATTGATCTACTATATTCTATATTTTCTTTGTACAGTAATTACTATCTAGGCGTGAAATTTAGCTATGTATACTGTGCTGTATGTTATTGGCATTCTTTCAGATGGAGTTTCCATCTGGGTTTTTCTATATCAATGGAGTCTTTTATGATGATACAAGACATCCAGAGGCAAAAATTTATAGTGAAGGCGTAAGAAAATGGGCACTGAAAAGCCCTGATATTGGTAAGTCATATTTTGACCATTAAAAACAACTTGCCTATTGTAGCTCATTTTACATCAGTTTCATGTCTCTTCTTGCAGGTTAACATTCAATTCGTGACTGCCAAAGTAGTTGGGAACTATTCCTTTCCTTCATCCTATCCTAAGTCCTCATCCTCATGTCCCTTCCAAGTGCTGTGTAGTCATAATGGCTTAATGCTTTCTCCTGGTAATTACCTGACCTTACCTTCTCCACTTGCTTTGTTTCGTTAATATTTCATCCTGTATTCTGGTTGCAAGTCTACTTCCACTTTGTCTTGCTGCCTGCATCGTACAGCATAACCCATGACGCCTCTATTGTCTTGCTGCCTGCATCGTACAGCATAACCCATGATGCCCTCTACTTCAGTAACAGCGACTATGGGGAAGAGAGATTTAGCTCTTTGTCCCACCCACTAACCTTGTAGTACCTGGTGCTCTGATTCTGTGCTATTCCTGCTGTGAATGAGTTTTATGGAAGTAATTTTGGGCTGCTGAGAACAATATATCATCTCCAGAACAAGAAGATTGTTAGCCTGTCCTTGAGGAAAGAAAGACACACTTTCCCTCTTGTCCTATCCCAGAACCTTATCCTTTTTACTTCCAAGTGCTATGCAGTATAGTCATAATGACTTAACACTTTCTCCTGATAATTACAGTACCTTGCCTCTAAGGAAGCAATCGGATGACCTCGGGAAAAAAAGATTTTCATCTACTCCAAGCTTTATTTTTTAAATAAAAATATATTCAGATTACATAACTTATTTTCATTCATGTATATTTTTTATTTGTATTCCGGTCAAGCGTATCTAAATTTGGAAGCGGTCTCTGAACCTCAGAGGATTTGAGTCACAAGTGATTTAAATAATGAAGTTTGCAGGAATTTAATAACAGAATCACCAGAGAATTGATAAATTACATTTTTCTTACAGGTAAATTAGAGTCCAAGTGCATGCATGAAACTACATTTATGGATCTGGAAGTGCGTTTAGGATATCCATATGTATATTTGCATCAGGGAAATTGTGAACACATCATCATCTTCACTGATGTAAGGTTAGTGTACAATAGGGACTGTGTGTGTGTGTCTGTGTGTAATTACCTAAGTGTAATTACCTAAGTGTAGTTACAGGATGAGAGCTACGCTCGTGGTGTCCCGTCTTCCCAGCAATCTTTGTCATATAACGCTTTGAAACTACTGACGGTCTTGGCCTCCACCACCTTCTCACTTGTTCCAACCGTCTGCCACTCTATTTGCGAAGGTGAATTTTCTTATATTTCTTCGGCATCTGTGTTTAGCTAGTTTAAATCTATGACCTCTTGCTCTTGAAGTTCCAGGTCTCGGGAAATCTTCCCTGTCGATTTTATCAATTCCTGTTACTATTTTGTATGTAGTAATCATATCACCTCTTTTTCTTCTTTCTTCTAGTTTTGGCATGTTTAATGCTTCTAACCTCTCCTCGTAGCTCTTACCCTTCAGTTCTGGGAGCCAGTTAGTAGCATGTCTTTGCGCCTTTTCCAGTTTGTTGATGTGCTTCTTAAGATATGGGCACCACACAACAGCTGCATATTCTAGCTTTGGCCTAACAAAAGTCATGAACAATTTCTTTAGTATATCGCCATCTATGTATTTAAATGCAATTCTGAAGTTAGAAAGCATAGCATAGGCTCCTTGCACAATATTCTTTGTGGTCCTCAGGTGATAGTTTTCTATCTAGAACCACCCCTAGATCTCTTTCTTTATCAGAATTCTTTAAAGATTTCTCACATAATATATAGGTTGTGTGGGGTCTATGTTCTCCTATTCCACATTCCATAACATGACATTTATTAACATTAAATTCCATTTGCCAAGTGGTGCTCTATCTACTTATTTTGTCCAGGTCTTCTTGAAGGGCATGACAATCATCTAAATTTCTTATCCTTCCTATTATCTTAGCATCATCAGCAAACATGTTCATATAATTCTGTATACCAACTGGTAGATCATTTATGTACACAATAAACATCTCTGGTGCAAGAACTGAACCCTGTGGTACTCCACTTGACATTTCTCCATTCCGATACATTGCCTCTGATTACTGCCCTCATTTTTCTATCAGTCAGAAAATTTTTAATCCATGATAGAAGCTTACCTGTCACCCCTCCAATATTTTCCAGTTTCCAGAACAACCTCTTATGTGGAACTCTGTCGAAAGCCTTTTTTAGGTCCAGATAGATGCAGTCAACCCAACCATCTCTTTCCTGTAATATCTCTGTGGCTCGATCATAGAAACTGAGTAAATTCGATACACAGGATCTTCCAGATCGAAAACCATACTGTCTGTCTGATATTATATCATTTCTCTCTAGGTGTTCTACCCATTTAGTTTTGATTAGTTTTTCCAATACTTTCACTATTACACTTGTCAATGATACAGGTCTATAATTGAGGGGGGTCTTCCCTGCTGCCACTTTTGTAGATTGGAACTATGTTAGCCTGTTTCCACATGTCTGCTACGATTCCTGTACACAGGGATGCCTGAAAGATCAGGTGAAGTGGAATGCTGAGCTCAGATGCACATTCTCTCGGAACCCATGGTGAAACGCCATCTGGGCCAGCTGCTTTGTTCTTACTGAGCTCCTTGAGCATTTTTTCCACTTCGTCTCTAGACACCTCTATGTGCTCTATGTTGTTCTCTGGAATTCTTATTGTATCTGGTTCCCTAAAGATTTCATTTTGTACAAACACACTTTGGAACTTTTCGTTTAGTGTTTCACACATTTCCTTTTCATTTTCTGTGAATCTATTTCCCATTTTCAACCTCTGAATATTATCCTTTACCTGCAATTTGTTGTTTATGAATTTATAGAATAGACCTGGTTCTGTTTTACATTTGTCTGCAATCCCTTTTTCAAAATTTCTTTCTGCCTCTCTCCTCACTGCCGTGTAGTTGTTTCTCGCATCTTTGTATCGCTGGTATGTTTGGGGGTTCGGCCTTTTCCTGTATTGATTCCATTTTTGTGTCTTTTGGTCTCTAGCCCTCTCGCAATTTCTATTGAACCAATCCTGTTTCCTAGTTCTGCATCTCTGTTTTGGTATAAATTTTTTTGTGCCTTTATCATATATTTCACAAAACTTGACATACATCTCATTCACTTCCTTGCCTAGCATCAAGTCTGTCCAATTATACTCACTAAAAAAATTTCTAAGGTCACCATAATGTCCTCTCCTGAAGTCTGGTTTTTCAACTGCTTCAACCTCCTTATTTTCTTCCAGCTTATAACGCATTGCATATTTTATTCCCAAAAAGACATGGTCACTTTTACCCAAGGGAGGAAGGTACTGAATGTCAAATATCTCTTCCTCCTCCCTGGTAAATATCAAATCTAGCATGGAGGGAACGTCCCCTTCCCTCATCCTCGTAGCTTGTTTAACATGTTGATACAAGAATGTTTCCAGGATGAGGTCTACAGATTGCAGGTCCTAGGATTGCACTTCTGTGCAATTTTTGGACCCTAGAAACCTAGAAATCCTAGAAACCAATCTAGGTACAGAAACCAATGTAGATCTAGGAAATCCAATCCTAGAAACTAATCTGAAAATGCTGATGTCAAGTTTGGCCTGTCTGTCAAGACAGCTTGGTGAAGTGGATATGTTGGCATATATCATGCTCTTTCTGTCCCACCAAAGATTCTGATCAGCTGTGATCCATTCAAGCAAGGTGTGTTATTTGACTTCCTTTGAACAAAAAATAAGAGACAGCATTCTAGTGACTGTGTTTAACCCTTGAAATGCACATACCATTTAAGGTTTTCAACTCATGGTATGCATATCATCCTAAAATGTTTCAGGTATAGTACTTTACAACCTTTGAAACTCCCACTAATAGTGTTCCCAATCAGTATTTGAGACCTCCAGGAAATATCTGCTATCTTAAAAAATGACAACATTTTTTTAGGATATTTTTCCTATGCTCAGGGCATAGTTTTTAACGTTAGGAAAATGAACCTTAGTTCGAATACTGTACTATTTTTCTGTGCATATGCAGATCCTGTCTGATGTAGCCCTTGTGCAATACTCAGCTACATAGTAAATTGTAGTGATGCTGTCTTGCATCTTGAACCTGATTTGTTTGTAAATTACTGTACTTACAGGTTGCACCACCAACATGACGTCCAGGACCCAGCACGATACCCACTGCTACGTGGCCAGGCAACAAAACTCTCCGTCAAGTGCTTCATTTGCTCTCTTCACTTAGCCAAGTTAGTTATAGTTGGATATAATTTATTAATAGTCAAAATCTTGAAGGTGTTTGAAAATATTCCTGTTAATTTAATATTCTGGCACTTCATGAAGTGCCAGACCAACTGGATATGTGGACCTGAGGGCCACTCCAAGCAACACCCTGTTGGACTGAGCTCTCTCAAGTCAAGCCTGCCCCCAGGCCAGGCTTGGAGAGAACAACAACATCCGGAACCCCATCCAGGTACAATCCAGGTTGGTAAATCTGATAACACACAAATGTTAGAAGCTCCTAGCAGCTGTAACCAAATGTGTGTGTCAAAACGAAGGAGATCTTCGGGTTTACACTAAGTTAGGTTAGAATATATTGGGTTCACATTCCTGGTATTCCCCTTTTATACCGAGGGTGAGCAGGGAAACATGCCCTCACTAGCATATCTTGCTTAGAGGCTACCCTTTTCCAGGCTATCAGAGGGGAGTCTGAAGGAAAATGTTGCCATGCAGGACACCTCCATGGTGTCCTTGAATTTGGTTTATTTTCTCCCTGTAGGTTCTTGTTGCTGTGGGAACATACCTTGAAGGGAGCACCATCCTGGAGAAGGGAATCGGCTGTCATCCAGTCCTCAGAAGATCCCACCTCTGTAGTGTCAAAAAAAAAGTTGCTACTTCCTGTAGAATCCTCTCTGGATATCTTCTGTCTCTGAAAAATGAGCAAAGTACTGTATATCCAAATCCTTCTTGAGTTTGCTGTCAACCCTTGTTACTTGCCTTATACTGTTTGTTATCATATTGACATCCTAAGTGCTGTTTAGTGCCTTTTGAATATACCATGACACAGATGGGGTTATATAGTCTTCCTGGCTTGACACCTTCTGTTGATAATTAAACATTTAAAGCTTGGTGAACAGAGGCATTACATGAAAGGAAATGTGGTCAACCATCTCTTGTCTTGCTGCAGGATCGAACCCAGGACTTTCTATTGTGAATTGACTGCGCTGATCACTTAACAACAGGGCCTTGTAATGAGAGTGCATTTAAAAATTTCAGTATTAAAAACTAAAGGTAAAACTTTTAATTAGAAAATCTTGGTCAAAAATCATTAGTTTATTAAAAGTTATTTACACCACACTATATATTGTGTATAAAAATATGCAAGTTGTTTTCTGTCATGTATAGTAAGAAAACTCCTCACAAACCCTTATGATACTGAAATAAAAATAAATTACAGACGAGTCACAATAATGTGGCTGAAGATATGATGACCAAATCATTCATCAAAAGATATATAACGGCGACGTTTTGGTCCGTCCTGGACCATTATCAAGTTGTGTGTGAAGGAGTCCATACATACGACTTGATAAGGGTCCAGGATGGGCCAAAACGTTGTTGTTTCTTCACCTTTTCATATGTGGTTTGGTCAGCAAAAACTTTGAATATCTGGAGAGGATTTAGTCCTAGTTCAGATTATCAGGACTCCACAACCAGTCCCCAGGCAAGGCTTGGCAAACTGGCAGTCAACCCCATAAATACTTTCATCAATTTCATTGTACTGTGTATTCAGAATTTGTATTTTCTCAAATATAAGTTAATATTATTACACCAGAATGTTGAATAGTTTGGCCTAACTTAGGTTCAGTTGTGAGCCATGTGTAAACTGTTTTTCATTCATAAATGGAGTTTGGTGGCTGGATTAATATGCACTTGGCCTTTGTTGATGAAGATGGGTTAGGATTCCATTACTTTCATAACTAATTCAGGATTTACAAAGATTTAATGTCTAATGATTTCTTTTTTAAGCTGTGTCCTTTAGGAATTGATAGGTGGTCATAGGTAGAATGTGTTGATATTTTAGACAGTGACCTGTTGTTTACCTTAATGATAGTGTGTGCTGTTCTGTACCTGAAATATTTGTGTAAATCAGGGGGGTTTCTCAATCTGGGATACACATACCCCTAGTACTCTCTAATGTTTGTTCCAAAGTGGCTATTAACTAGAGCAAACTTGGAATATAAAAACACTAGAGAGAGCACGAGGAGAATGCGTTCCCCAGACTGAGAAACCCTGCTTGAAATGATTGTGTATGGTGATGTGACTATCATATGATAATAGTTTATAACTCCACTCCTTTTTTTTCAGCTGGATAGTGAAGGACGAGTCAAGATTCCCAATACCTAATGCTCATGTGTGTGAACGATGCCTTAAGATGTTCTGCTACAACAGTCAAGGGGTCAAGATTAGTAATATCAAAGTGTATCCTTTCATTGATGAATTTATGACACAACAGAAGAAGCATGCAGATAATACAAAATTTATGAGCAAGTTTGAAAAAGATGGTTAAATTCCTACTACATATGATGGGTAAGGCTTATCAGCATTAATTCTGTACCCCTCATTTATTAGGTAGAGGCATTATAGGAAAAGAACTAAAAATATACAAAACAATATCCATCCATTCATCCGACTTTCCCTACTAATTACATCATACGCAGTCATTACATACTTGTAAGGCATCCTTATTAATTGTCTACTACAATACTATGTTAAATATTAACTCTTATTTAATAACATGATTGCTTCTAGCCTTGTTCCCTACCACTTTGCATGCTGTTAACACTTTTGAATACCATGGATCAGCTACATCCTGTTGAATGCTCATATGTACTTTAGTTTTGAGAAATCTTGGTAGTTCTCGGCAAATTATAACAATTATTCTTTGACTTATTTTCTGTAAATATTTCATGGTGCCAAATTATAATATACTGACACTCGATTATCCAGGATTCGAATATCCGGAAAACGCCCATATATGGCCAAAATCGTGACCAGATAAAGTTCTCAATATCCGGCCAAAATGTCCATACGAGCCAGAAAATCAGGTGTTTGCCTGAATAAAAAAATCTGGTCCGGTTAACTTGCTGCCGATGTTGCAATATCCGGACAGTCAGCCGGACAAGGAGTGAATTGTCTGGATATGAAAGCCAGGCCCCGGGCTGTACCGTATTAGTCCCGTACGGCTGTGGCTCGAGGCGCATGGTGTAGGAGGGGGTGGGGTGGGTGGGTCGTGTCGGGAGAGATGGGAGCATTGGGAGGGACCACCTGAGGGGATAAGGGGAAGGTGGAGTGGCCTATACACTACAGTATAGGAATTACCATTAATTTTAGAACAATTCATCATAGCCAAAACAAAAGAAATACTAGTAATTATGTAATAAAAAATACTATACAGGTTTCCTAAAAACAATTTGCACAGGCTGAAGTTGCCTTAAAAAATAGTGATTTTTTTTTCCTCCTGGCCGCCTACGTAACGTGCCTCCCTGCCCCAAGTGGACCCGTCCAGGCCTGGACAAGCCATGTGCTCTCGTCCCTCGTGAAATATTTTTTTAAATAACTTTATTTTCATAGTAACTTTGAACATATTTGGCAAAGACTATGTCTGGTAGCAGCATCAATCGTTCTGGAGGTGTTAAGAGGAAGAAGGTTGTCCTAACAGCTAAGGACATGTTACGTGTTATACAATGTTGTGAAACTGGCCGGTCGACTTCAAGTGTTGCCAAGGAATTTAATATAGGCACTAGTACTGTTTCTGATATAAGGAAACAAAAAGAGAAATATCTGAAATACATTTCAATCAGTGAGAATGAAGGTGCAAGCACTAGCAGAGGGTGTAGGAGAAAAACTTTGAAAAATTCTACGCATGTACAGTTGGATGAGGCTGTGTACAAATGGTTTGCTCTGCACCGCACAGCTGGCGTGACAATTCACAGCCCAGAAATATAAAATGCTGCAAGCAGGTTTGCAGCAAGCCTTGGATAGAGAATTTCCAAGCTAAAGAAGGGTGGGTTGCAAGGTTCAAAGGGGGACACAATATTGTGAAGAGGAAAATTGTCGGTGAAAAATCGAGCGCAGATACAAGCAGTGTAGAATCATTTAAACATAAATTAAGAACATACATTTTGGCAAATAATTTATATTCTTATCAAATTTATAATGCAGATGAAACTGGGTTGTATTGGAGGAGTTTACCAGAAAAAACTCTTGCTATGAGGAGTGAGGGTTGTGTGCCAGGCCGTAAGTTTAACAAGGACAGGGTGTTGGCCATGATGTGTGCGAATGCTGACGGCACAGACAGAATTACGTATGCAATTGTTGGCAAATCAAAGAAACCAAGAGCCTTGCAACAATGCATGGACAGACTACCAGTGAAATATTATAACTCAAAGAATGCATGGTTTACACAGGAGATCTTTCTTTCCTGGTTTCATGTGTTCTGCAGGGAAGTTCGTGACTATCAAGTTAAGAAACTCAAAGTAAGGCCAAGCGAAGTTTGGGCTTTGCTGCTGCTTGATAATGCGCCTGCCCACCCCAGAATTGACACGTTAACCTCACATGATGGCAAGATAACGTGTATGGCACTTCCTCCTAATACAACCTCTCTCATACAGCCTATGGATCAGGGAGCTATCTGTGCCACAAAGAGGTTGTACAACATAAAGATGCTCAACAAAGTTTTGGTGGTTTTGCCTCTTCCGGAAGATGTCAAACTCGGTGTGGATAACAGGGCTAAAAAAAAAACTTGCTTACCGGGGAAGGGGAAACCCCAGACCCTCGCTCTGGCAATTCACCCTTTAATTCTTGGCTGATGTGTTCCTGGCAGGTCGTGTGCCTCTGGCTCCAGATTTTGTCTCGGATCTTGTGCCTTGTGGCGTAGTCGTCTGTCTCCGGTCGGTCTGCGAGCCAGGAGTATTATTCTTCAAGTACTCAGGCTGCATGCGCCTAGGGTTTCCTTCCCTAGATGCCCTATAAGTACTGCCCTTGGGGCTTGGGGCAACCTTCCACAAGTCACCTTGGGGTCAACTTCTGCTGTGTCTTTTACTGCTTGGTGATAGACCACCCTTTGAGTCGGCAGGGGTTTTTGTTTATCCCTGTTTCCCTCTGGGTAGGGGGTAGTTTTTGTCACTGGTTGGGGCGCAGGGTACAGTGCTGCTTGTTATCACCTCTCATAGCGGCCGACTCTGTTCTGCCTGGGCACGTTGTTTTCTTGCTGGGTTTTCTTTTTCTTTTTGTTTTCTCAGCCTTGTGGAGGGTCTTCCTCTTGGTTAGTCATTTCCTATTGTTATTAGTGGTCCTCCACTAGGCCCCTACTAGTGTACAGGGATGTCCCAGGGATGCAGCTTTTAGCAGTTTGCTTGGTAGTTTTGGGGTGCCGGTTAGCTGGCACCCCAAAATGCCTGCCTGAGCCTCCCTTAGTATGTTACCAAGGCTAAGGGCCCTGGGAAACCCCCATAGTCTCTCGTTGGTCTGAAGGATACGACCCCTGAGTCCCCTCTCACTTCGTGCGAGGTTGACGGTTGCTCTGTCCCCTTGTCTCAGGGTGACAATCACCAGTTGTGCCTCTGCCATGCTGCCTGTAGGGTCAGTTATTCTTTTGATACAGAGTCGTGCAGTGTTTGTTTATATGTTCTCCAGCTTACCCAAGCTACTGATCATGATATGAGGGTGCAGGCAGCCGAGACGTTGCATGCTCGGTTTAGGTTGCTTCCCCGGATGCCTCGAGACAGGCCCCCAACGGCCTGTCTCGTTTTGTTCCCCTGTCCACGGAATGGATGGTCGACGCCGATTCCTTCCGTTGACTCTGCTGGACGTTCGGGCCTCTGGAAGTGGATCTCTTCGTGTCGGCGTTGTTGAGGCATCTCTCGGTATACGTGACGCCCTTCCCCGACTTCAAGGCTGTCGGGGTCGACACTTTCAGGCAGGACTGGGCGAGGTGGGGTTACTTGTACCTCTCTTCCCCGGTTCAGCTGTTGTTCCAGGTCCTGGCTCCCTTGGAAACTTACCAGGAGAAGAAATGTCCTTCTGGCTCCATGGTGGCTGGCCCAGCCTTGGTTTCAGGCGCTGCTTGCTCAGCGTCTGAACCCGAGGGTCTTCTCGCAGATCCACCTCTTTCAGCAGATAGGTCCAGCCCGGTTCAAGGCTGGTTCGTTTGTTCTCCTCGAGTCTTCGTGTCTGGAGTTTCTGACTTGGGTCTATCATCATTTGTATGGAGCATAGGTGGCTTCATTGTTGGTCTCCCACCCGAGTGCTTTGTCTCGGTGGCAGTATGAAGTTTCCTGGCGGTCCTTGCGATTTTTCCTATCACTGTGTAGGTGTACTTCAGTCTTTGATTAGATTGTTTTGTCCTTCCTTTCGTGGTTGTTCCAGGACCATCATCTTACGCTCAATATTGTCGCCTCGTATCATGCGGCCCTGCGGAACTGCTGCAGCTTGCATTCGGTATTGATGTTACTTCTGCGCCGTTCCGCAAACTGTCTCGTGCATTGTTTCAAGCTCCGGCCTGCTCATGCATCTCCCGAGCCGTCCTGGTCATTGAACCGGGTACTCTCTTTTCTCTCTCTTCCTCGGTTTGTTGTGGCCCCTTAGGTTCAGAATCAGGATTCTAAGGATCTTTTCCTGTTAGCATTGGCCTCTTTGGGTCGGATTGGGGAGCTTCATGCTCTTCTCCGATTCTGGAGAACGTCCTGGTGGTAGGTTTGTTTGTCTGCAGCCGTCTCCTTCTTTTCTGGCGAAGAATGAGTTTGCTGCTTTCCGGAGGAGTCCTTGGGTTGTTGAGTCTTGGTTGGCTAGGCCGATAGTGCATCATGTGTGTGTCTGGTTGCGGCTCTTCGCCGTTATTTGCGTGCCATGGCTTTAGTGGCCAGGGACGTGCTTTGAGTTGACGCGGTTTCCCTCCTTCCCTGCTCCTGGAGTCATCCGCAGGGTTATGAAGTCTAGCCAGCCTGCGGTCTATCCTGCAGATTGACTGTGCCCACGATGTTCATAAATTTGCTGCCTTGGCTGCTGTTTTTGGCGACATTTCTTGGGTTGACATTTGGGTGCAGGGTTTTTGAAGGTTGAACAGGGTCCTGGCCGCTCCCCACCTTGTTAACGTTCCAACGCAGGCCCTCGTAGAGCCTGAGTTGCATTGGGTTGGCGATGAGCCTCTGGGTGAGTCCCAGAGGCTCTTCGGTACCCTTCCCTCCCCTCCAGTGTTTTCGCATGTTTTGACATCCAGCCTCAGAACTGAAGGGTGAATCGCCGGTGTGAGGGTCTGGGGCTCTCCCTTCCCCCTCCCGGGGAGGTGGGGGGGGGGGTTGCGTAGACAGCTGTGTGGCAATGTGATTACTTCATGCTAGCTTGCTAATTTTCATTTGGAGAGTTCAGTCCACTCGTTCGGCTTTCGGTAGCAATCATTTCACCAGAATTCGGGTTTGTTTTGGGGGCGCCTACCTTTCTGGGTGCCAGACACGGTCGATGGCAGACATAGAATACTCCCAACCTCATGGGGGTGTCTATAGGCCATTGCTCCTCGTGCCTCTCTGAGGGGGGGGCCAGGTTCTGGCTCGGGGTCCCCGGTAGGCAAGAACTCCATGCACATTGACTGATGCCAGAAAGCTAATATATCCATTTCAGCCTGAATAGCTCTAGGGAGCCTCTGGGTTTCACTATGAAAAATGACGTTTCATTACATTCAAGGCTGGTTTTTTGTTACAATATTCCAGCATTGGTAATGATCTCTCAAGTTTTCAGAACATCTGTATCTCCAGTTCATACTTGTCTGTTCCTATTTTTTATATTGCGGTAGTGGACCCCACACCAATTCTGTGGGTAGTAGTGGACCCCATATCAATCATATGGGTGGTATTGGACCAAATACACATTGTGTGACTAGTTGTGCACCCCATATCCATCCTGTGGGTGGTAGTAAAAGTTTCAAGTGTCAAACGAAGGCTTAATAAACTGCATTAATAGAATGGTAAAAAAATATATATATATATAGTGTTAACTATTTTAAACCTGATATTCCTAATGTTAATTTCCTCTCATCCTCAGGTCCGGCCAACTACAGTTACACAAGAGAAGACAACGAGGACAGTCTCTGTACTGAACATGAACAACAATGGAATAAAATGATGCACTGCCTACTGTACTGTAGTACTGTACTTAGTTTTTCTCTTAAACTGGTTGAGAGCGGTACAGCCTTTGAACGTGATTGGGAGTATCATTCCACATTCTGGGTCCCGTTGATTTGCAGAGCATTTCTAGTTTGGTTAAGTTGCACTCTTGGAATATCAAATACTGTAAGTATTTGATTCTGGTGTGGTTGGTGCCCACATGTTTTGTTACAATCTTCTAGGAAGCGTTGAAGGTCAGGATTGGCATTTCAGTTCGAGAGTTTTTAATATATAGGGTACACTTGAGAGGATGTACAGTGACTTAATATCTAACATATTCAAAGATTTAAGTAAGGGTACCGAGTGTTGTCTGGGGACAGAGTTGTTTGTTGTTCTAATAGCAGATTTGTGTTGAGTAATTAGAGGACGTAGATGATTTTGGGTAGTAGAACCCCTTGCACAAATACCATAATTGAGATAAGGATAGATGAGAATAATAGAGCATCACCAGGGCAGGACAAGGTACATAATATCTGATCTTGGAAAGAATGCCAACAGTTTTAGAAATATTTCTTGCTCTGTTGAATGTGGCCCTGGAAATTCAGCTTATCAATGAAAACACCAAGGAATTTACTACCTACTTTATTACTAATTTGTATATTGTTTATTCTTAGATTAATTTGATCTGAAGATTTATTACCAAACAAAATACAGTATAGGTTTGGTCAACGTTAAGGGTGAGTTTGTTAGCAGTTAGCCAAAGGTGGACTTTATTTAGTTCAGTATTCACTATCATAGAACTGTGTTAGAACTGAAGAAAATGAAGGTTGTCATCAGCAAATAAAATTGGTTGAGGTGTTGAGATGCATTTGGAAGGTCATTAATGTAAATGAGAAAGAGGAGAGGGCCAAGTATTCTGCCCTGTGGAACACTAATGTTGATGGGAAGAGTTGGAGAAGTGGAATCATTCAGAAAAACATACTCGAGCCTGTCACAGAGGTAAGAGATTGAAGGTATTGGAGGGAGTGACTTCTGACTCCATAACAATGTAATTTAAAAACCTTGTGTTGGTTGACAGTATCAAAGGCCTTATGTTAGGTCAACAAATAACCCAACTGGGAATTCACCTTTATCAAGAGCTGCATATATCTAGTTAATCATGCTAATCAGTGCATCTTAGTGCTCTTTTTTTTGGTCTGAAGCCATATTGGCAAGAGCTAAATATATTGTGTTTAGCTAGATAAGAGTACAGCCGCTCATAGATTAGCTTCTCAAATATTTTTGACAAGGTTGGCAGAATTGATAAAAGTGAAATTGTTGACATCAGTGAAATCACTAGCAAGGGATTACCAATGGATGAAAAGAAACTATTGAATTCAATAGCAGTGTCAGAGGCTGAAAGCACGCCGTCGTCATTGGATATGAGTACAGTATTGATTTTATATTCAAATATTTTTTTATCCTAATATTTGGGAAATAGTGCTCCAGGTTTTCTTAATGTTGCCCTTAATTTGGTTAAATTTATTTTCGTAGTATTTTATTTTGGCTCTCCAAATTATTTTAGACAACATTGATGAGTAAATCTTTGAAACTTCTTTCAAAACGACTCCTAACCTATATTTCTTCTCGTGGTCATGTTTTTTATCGATAGATTTAAGTATACACTTTGTAAGCCGTGGATTGTTTAACCTTTTAGTTGTGACTCATTTTGTTAGCATTGGACAGTGGGTGTTAGAGAGGCTCTTAGAGTTTTTTGAAATGTTTGCACTGCTAGGTTAATGTTCACTGTTACCCAAGTCTCCCAGTTGATATTAGCAGCAGCAATAAAGTTGCTTATAGAAGTTCGACTGTGCAGCCTAAAGCTTATCTTCATTGTATCTAGAGGTGGTTTATAAATGTTGGTTAGGAGAAATATGGGGTAATAGTCTGTGGTCCTATCAGTGATTATCCCTGAACTAAATGGAGAGGGGTATGTTAGTCAAGATGTGGTCAAGAGCAGAGGCAGTCGTATGTTATATGTAATAATTTACTGAAGCACCAAGATTTCTCCCAAGTGTTAACCTTTAACAGGATGCACTGTAGAATAGTGGTTTAAATTATGGGTTGAAACATTAGCCAACACAAAATGGAGACCTATAACTTGTTTTGTGTTTTTTTTTTTTTTTTTTTTTTTTTTTTTTAACTATTTTCGGTAAAGAATAAACTATTTTAGTAAAGAGTATTCATCCGTCAACAGCTATCATCTTTGCCAACAACTTCATTACAATCTTAATTATTAAGCCTTAAAAATCATCCCATAAAATAAATACTAAAATAAGGAGCCATAGGTGGTAGCTATGTATACCTACCATAGGTGATCTATAAATCTTAATAATTTTAATACTAATAATTATTACTACTTAACTTTACCTCAAATCAACTAGATTTTCTTGATTTTCTTGGAATATTGCTGCCCCTCGGGCTGCTCAAAGGCAATCGGAGTTGGTAATCAATTCCCTCCTTACGGGTGAAAGATTCGGCTAAATTTGGAGCAGTGTGCTCAGTCCCACAAGGTCTCTGTGCTGTGTGTTCCACAAGGTTGAATTACTGACCATTCCCAGGATGCACGAACTGTATACTAAATTGATTAACATATATTACCCAATACCCATTAGCTGTTTGAGGGTGAGGTGCAGAGTACATGTGGGGGTAAAGAATACTTGTGCTGGTACATAGTACTTGTGGTGGTATGGAGTATGTGGTGATACAGGGTACATATAATTCACTGTGTCGGGGGACAGGAAGTAATTATCAAAAGAATGCACCAAACCCGGATGGCTATGTAGCACCATCAAATGTGTGGAATAATCAGAGGGCGCTAAATATCACCAAGGATGCCAATACGAGAACAGAAATGGATAAGGTGTCTGATATTGAAAGTGTCCAATTCACCAAGAATTCTATCAAGGGACAAGTGACTGTGAAGGACGGTCGGAAAACAAGACACATGCTCGTCCTGGAAGTCAGAACAATAAGGAGCAGGGCGGCGCTCCATTAAGTGACCGAGTTAAGCATGTATGGCCAATACACAACCTCGCCAGAGCCGTTTCCCATCGCTGGTTACTGTGGCAGGACGACGGCCATGAGGACACACTACTCTTAAGAGTATGCAGTTTGTTACAGTAACAGAAGACCAACAATCTCGCCAACAGGTAAGGATGGAGGAATGAATAACTGGGTAAAAGTTGGAATAAGGAATACCTTTACGGGAGATGGGACAGAGTATGTATATATATCCCTTATTTACTGTGCTATATTACAGTATTAACGTTAATCCGTATCATTACTGTTATTTCAGTATTTTATTATGAGCATAAATTATTATTACGGTATGGCGTCGCTTTCCTAAGCGACGCCATACCATAATTTCATCTCCTACTCTGTGGCACATTGCCGTCATATATTATTTACAATATTACTTTGTATTCTTAATATTATTCTTATTACAGTTACTGATCACTAGTTCCTTGGCGTCGATTTAACTTTGCACCCGTTCTACAAGATGTAGCCAAAGTTCTCGGTGTACAGCTGCTGCTCTCGGATGCTCATTGACAATTCAAGGCTACACTCGATGGCTACTTAAGGCAGATTCCTTGGCTTCTCTTCAGCTTTATCATCCATTTGGAGGCCAACATGAGATGGAGACCAAGGGTAATGTTCCCCGCTCCCATACTTAGTACAGTAATTTGTTGTATTTGTCGCGCTTTGTACACAAGCATGTTACAGATATGCCTTAACGTATTGCTTTCTTATATTCCATTTATTGTTTATATATTGACTTGATATTATATATCCGTTCTATGGTATATGTATTAATTATATATTATGATTGTGTATTGTATTATAACAGATTGTATTTGTTTTGAGCCACCCTTGCCGATTTACTTCTGGCTATCTTATCCTGCCTTTATTCCTAGCAACGGTATTTCGCTCCCTTCGTTTCACTGAAAGTTTCATTAGAATTGTTAGCTACCTTACATTGCTACAGTTTAGTTATTATACAAACTTATTCTCCTTCCTCCCCCAGTGTTTTCTGTGCCAATGTTTCTATTTGGGGTTTCATCCAGGATTGTTTAATTAAGGAATCTTTTTAAATCCTGCGTCAGGGCACCCCCCTCCCTCCCTCTTATGCCAATCTCCTGCACTACCCTTAGTAGCTAGGTCTCCTCCATATTAATTCAGATAGGGTTTACCCCTCTCAACCGAGTTCTTGCTTGTCATGTTACAACTGCATGCCCGCTTCTGCCCACCCTTACCGCCTTATTACTTTCAGCCCGGGGAAGGTGATCTACTCGGCAAAAGGTCGACACACGCTTTGACTGGATCAGGTATCATTTACATGGTCAAGAATAGACATTATCTTCGGATCCTACAAGCACAATGCGGGATGCACGCCTACCCTAGCCTGGGGCCAAGCCCGGCCCGTGCCCCAGTGACCAGGCAAGACTTCTCCAGGATGCTTCGCGCCGCCATCGCAGTGCTAGGCTCGCCTCCAGCTGATTACGCCCCTCACTCCTTTAGAATTGGCAGGGCCACTCGGTTGTCTCTCCACTCGTCTCGGTACACGTGTCGTTGCTGCTGCTCCTCAGGATGTAGCTTCCCGCTTGGCTGCCTTATCCTGCCTTGGCGAGATCCCTGTTCGGGTCTCAAAGAACGCTCGGTTGAATGCCAGTGTTGGCACTATTCTCCTCCCACCCCATGTTGTGACCAGTGTTCGGAATCTGCAGGACTGCCACGATGATATTCGGCATATCCTTGATGCCCAAATCCATTTTGTCCTCCAGGTAGACTCGTTTACTCAAAAAAAAAAAAAGTTTATTTAGGTAAGGTACATACATAAGAGATTTTACAAAGAGTGATGGATTTATAGTTAGGGCTAGTACATACAATGCCTAAAGCCACTATTACGCAAAGCGTTTCGGGCCTACTCGTCCCCCCTCATGGTCATCACCGTCATCTCCTTCGGGTTGTGAAGATTACCTTTGATGGTAGGACCCTTCCATCCTCTGTCATTCTTGCTGGTGCCAGACTGCTCTGTCCAGGAGTACATTCCTTCTTCTAGGCTCTGTAACAAGTGCTGGAGGTTTGGGCATGTTGCCCTCTGCTGCTCTGGGACTGTCTCTGTCCTTTGTGTGGGGGCGAAGGCCACTCTAAGTCGGAGTGCACTTCTTCCCAGGTTCGGTGCCTCGACTGTGGTGAGGCCCATCCTACCTCCTCCCATGAGTGTATCCATTATAAGCTTGAGGCAGCCGTCCTCAACTTGAAGCACTGGGAGCGTTTATCTTTTCCTGAGGCAAGACGCCAGGTTCGCCGGCTCCCGCCTTATGCTAACGTCTCTTATGCTCGCATGTTGCGCTCTTCCTCTCCTCGTCCTTCCCACCTTCCTCAGACTCATAACCGTCTCCGGGCCTTGAACCCTGATAGGCCCACTGCCCCTCTTTGTTCCTTTGAGTTCTGTCCCGAAGGGTCCCCCTCCTGGTCCTCTGTCTGGGGTGCCCCTTCTTTCTACCTGGTCTGTCATGTCTCCTGTGTCTTCTTCCTTGTCTCTCTCCGATCCTCCTTCCCATCCTTCTCCGTCTATTGACTCTCCCCGCTGCCTGTCAGTGCGGGCTGATGTCCATCGCTCTCCTAATGGCCGTCGTGTGTGCTCTCGTTCAGCTTCTCCTGTTGAGATGCTGGAATCCGTTGCCCAGTACGTAGTTGCTGGGACACCCGTCTCTTTAAGTCAGAAGCGTAAGCCTGGCTCCTCTCCTTCCTCCTCCTCGGCGGGTAAGAAGGCTTCGCTTTCTTCCTCGGCCCCTGCTTCTGACTTTCACTCCTTCCCCTCCCATTTCGGTGGTTGTGCCCCCTGTTCCTGCTATGGAGGTTTCTTTGGCCCCCGCTTCCCTCTCGGTTGCTGCCCTTGCTGAGGTGCGCTCCCCTCTTTCTCCTCCCCCCCCCCCCCCCCCCCACCCCCCTCTTCCTGCTGCTGTCCTTGACTGCCCCTCTCGGTTGTCTCCTCCTCCTCCGGACCCCGCCCGTCCGCCTATGGTCTGTTCTCCCGTTTTCTTCCCTCCGTCTTTGCTCAGTTTACAAATGCCCTCTAACCCTGACTTTGCTGACCCTGATCTTCTTTAATGTGCTATGTTGCTCTTTCGCCTTTGTTTCTTCCTTGTTCTCTGTTGTCTTTTCTCTTCTCATTGGTCTATTCAATGGAACGTTCGAGGTTATTACGCCAATTTCCTTGGACTGCAACTTCTGATTTCGCGGTTTTCCCCCCTTTTGTGTCTGTCTCCAGGAGCCAATGCTTGGTGCTCGTCCTGGTCATTTTCAGGGCTATTCCTTTCTCCCCCCCCCCCCTCCCTAGCTGTTGCTGGGGCTCTTAACTCTTTTGCTCTCTTGATTCGCTCTGTTCCCTTTGTCCCCTTACTTTTTCCTTCGCCTCTCCATTGTTCTGCCGCTCGTATCTTTGTGGGGAAATGGTACACCATTTGTTCCATTTATCTCCCCCGAGTGTCCCGCTTTCTCTTCCTGATCTGAAATGCCTACTGGACTCCTTGCCGGAGCCTGTGCTCCTGCTGGGTGATTTCAATTGTCGTCATTCCTTTTGGGGTGATGTTCTGACGAACACCCGAGGTCGCCTTCTTGAGCGATTTATCCTCTCTCCTTCCCTGTCTCTTCCGAATTCTGGTGAGCCCACGCATTTGGACTCTCGGACTTGTACCCTTTCCTTTCTTGATCTTTCTCTTTGCTCGTCTTCTCTTTACTTGGATTTCACGTGGTAGGTCCTTGATGACCTCCATGGTAGTGACCATTTCCCCATCCTTGTTACCTTTTTCTCTTTTCACCCTCCTCTCCTTCCCTAGGTGGCAGTTTGCTAAAGCGGACTGGAACCTATTTACCCTCAGTGCTGCTCTCTCTGACCTCTCCTTTCTGCCTCTCCCTCGCTCTTCCTTTTTCATGAGTCTTTGAAGCTGACCTCCGCTCTATTCCTCGCTCTTCCTCTCGGGGTCCACGGAATTGCATTCCCTGGTTTGGAATGCAGACTGTGCTCGGGCTGTCCGCTGTAAACATGCAGCCCGGAAGACACACCGCCGTTGCCAGACGGCCGATTCTTTTCTTTCGGAAGGCAAGTGCGGTGGCCCGTAGGGCCATCCGTACGGCTAAAGGTGAATGTTGGGCATCTTATGTCTCCCTCCATTACGTCTGAAACTCCTCTGCCACATATCTGGAAGCGTATCCACAAGATAGCGGGCAAGTTCGTTCCTGATGTTTCACCGGTCCTTCACATCCGTGGTACTCTTGTGGCGGACCCGTTACAGGTCACTACCGAACTGGGTTCCCACTTTTCTTGTTAGCAATGGTCTTCATCTTCCCCAATCTTTCCTTCTTTGTAAACCTGTCCTTGAATCTCGTCCTTTAGATTTCTGTACTAGTCTTCGCCTTCCCTATAACGATCCCTTCTCTCTGAACTTTGTTCTGCCCTGGCCCTCTGCACTTCTACGGCGGCGGGCTCCGATGGCATTCATTGAGATGCTTTGCCATCTCCCTCTGTGCACATCTCGGTATTTACCGAGTCTGTGTAATCGAATCTGGGAGACGTCGTTAGTCACTGAGGACTGGCTCGATGCCGTTATCCTCCCTGTTCGCAAACCGGGGTCTCTGGGAACATCCTCTAAGGACTTTCGCCCTATTGCCCTCACAAATTGTCTGCAAACTCTTTGAACATATGGTTAACGTTTATCTGATGTGGTTCCTGGAACACCGTCACCTCTCCCCTTCTCAATTTGGTTTCCACAAGTGGCGCAGCACAACAGATGTCCTGGTGAACTTGGTCTATATTCGTACAGCTTTTGCTGCGAAGACCTCCGTTGTTGCTGTCCTTTTTGACCTGGAAAAGGCTTACTCATTGGCAGGCTTGTTGTTCGTCTGTTACTGGTAACAAACTACGTTCTCTTAAGTTGTCCTCGTGGCCGTCCTCCTACCACCGTAACCGGCAATGGGAAACGGCCCTGGTGAGGTTGCGTGTTGGCCATGCTCGCTTAACTCAATTACTTGATGGAGCGCCGCCCTGCTCCTTATTGTCCTAATTGCGTTGTCCCTCTTACGGTCGTGCATATCCTTGTTGAATGTCCTGACATTCATTCGTAACATTCAGTGCTGGTTTTCTTGCACTACCCCACTCAGGACAAGCACAGGATGTAAAAAAGCTACATGCTATTGGTGGCAACACGTGCCTTGTAATGCAGTAAACTTGGAGTTAGGTTTCAGGTGTGAGTCCTTTTTCCTGTAGCCCTGACTCTCGCCTTGTTGCCCATGAATCTTCCCATGGTGATAATAAATAGGTACATGAACAAATTTGTACATCACTTGGTACCCCTACTCAAATCTCTGAATGTTAGATATTAAGTCACTGCACATTCTCTCGTGTATTATACATATATAAAATGCTGAACTGTAATGCCAATCCTTACCTCAAAAGTTTCATAGAAGGTTGTAACAGAACCCATGAGCACCACACCAGAAATAAATTTTGATATTCCAAGAGTTCGACTTAAACTAGAAATGCTCTACAAATCAAGGGTCCCAGAATGTGGAATGACCTTCCCTACCATGTTAAAGACTGTACCCCTCTCAACCAGTTTAAGATAAAAATGAAGCATTACCTAATAAATTCCCTGTAACCTACCTATTGTCAACCCATGTCTGTTTTCTTAAACAACGCTGTTTGTCTACCTAATTGTATTTGTGCTGCTTTTTCAGCCATGTTTCCCTTTATCTTTACTGTATTTGTGCTGCTTTTTCAGCCATGTTTCCCTTAATCTTTATTTGTTCTCAACACATTTTATTCTTTATACTCAATTAGTATTAAGTTTTAGTCATTAATGTTTTTCCTGCCCGAAACGCTTTTCGTAATAGTGGCTTTAGGCATTGTATGTACTAGCTCTATCTATAACTCGATCAATTTATGTAAAATCTCTTGTATGTATGTACCTTACCTAAATACTTTTTTTTTCCAACAAATGTAGAAGACAAGTTTTCATAAAGATATGTAGAAAAGTACCTATTTGAAGAGGTAGTGCCTATCCAAATAGGTAGAATATGTTCAAATTTGCAATAATCGAGTCCAACAAATGTGGAAAACGGTAATTTCATAAGGAAAGAAAAGTACCTATTTGAATAGGACCTGTCCAAATAGGTAGAAATGTTCAAATTTGCAATAATTAGGTCCAAATGTGGAAAACTCTAATTATCAGGAAAGAAAAGTACCTGTTTGAATAGGTAGTACCTATTTGAATAGGTAGTGCCTATTTGAATAGGTAGTAGATCCAAATTGGTAGAATATGGTCAATTTGCAATAATAAAGTCCAAATGTGGAAAACTGTAATTTCATCAGGAAAGAAAAGTACCTATTTGAATAGGTAGAAATTACCTATTTGAATAGGTAGTACCTATCCAAATAGGTAGAATATGTTCAAATTTGCAATAATAAAGTCCAACAAATGTGGAAGACTCATTTAGAAAAGTACCTATTTGAATAGGTACAAAGTACCTATTTGAATAGGTACAAAGTACCTATTTGAATAGGTAGTACTTATCCAAATCGATAGAATATGTTCATATTTGTAATAAAGTCCAATATGGAAAACAGTAATTTCATAAAGGTACCTATTTGAGTAGGTATAAGTACCTATTTGAGTAGGTATAAGTACCTATTTGAGTAGGTATAAGTACCTATTTGAGTAGGTATAAGTACCTATTTGAGTAGGTATAAGTACCTATTTGAGTAGGTATAAGTACCTATTTGAGTAGGTATAAGTACCTATTTGAGTAGGTATAAGTACCTATTTGAGTAGGTATAAGTACCTATTTGAGTAGGTATAAGTTCCTATTTGAGTAGGTATAAGTACCTATTTGAGTAGGTATAAGTACCTATTTGAGTAGGTATAAGTACCTATTTGAGTAGGTATAAGTACCTATTTGAGTAGGTATAAGTACCTATTTGAGTAGGTATAAGTACCTATTTGAGTAGGTATAAGTACCTATTTGAGTAGGTATAAGTACCTATTTGAGTAGGTATAAGTACCTATTTGAGTAGGTATAAGTACCTATTTGAGTAGGTATAAGTACCTATTTGAGTAGGTATAAGTACCTATTTGAGTAGGTATAAGTACCTATTTGAGTAGGTATAAGTACCTATTTGAGTAGGTATAAGTACCTATTTGAGTAGGTATAAGTACCTATTTGAGTAGGTATAAGTACCTATTTGAGTAGGTATAAGTACCTATTTGAGTAGGTATAAGTACCTATTTGAGTAGGTATAAGTACCTATTTGAGTAGGTATAAGTACCTATTTGAGTAGGTATAAGTACCTATTTGAGTAGGTATAAGTACCTATTTGAGTAGGTATAAGTACCTATTTGAGTAGGTATAAGTACCTATTTGAGTAGGTATAAGTACCTATTTGAGTAGGTATAAGTACCTATTTGAGTAGGTATAAGTACCTATTTGAGTAGGTATAAGTACCTATTTGAGTAGGTATAAGTACCTATTTGAGTAGGTATAAGTACCTATTTGAGTAGGTATAAGTACCTATTTGAGTAGGTATAAGTACCTATTTGAGTAGGTATAAGTACCTATTTGAGTAGGTATAAGTACCTATTTGAGTAGGTATAAGTACCTATTTGAGTAGGTATAAGTACCTATTTGAGTAGGTATAAGTACCTATTTGAGTAGGTATAAGTACCTATTTGAGTAGGTATAAGTACCTATTTGAGTAGGTATAAGTACCTATTTGAGTAGGTATAAGTACCTATTTGAGTAGGTATAAGTACCTATTTGAGTAGGTATAAGTACCTATTTGAGTAGGTATAAGTACCTATTTGAGTAGGTATAAGTACCTATTTGAATAGGTTGTAGATCCAAATTGGTAGAATATGCTCAGATTTGCAATAATAAAGTCCAACAAATGTGGAAAACTCTAATTTCATCAGGAAAGAAAAGTACCTATTTGAATAGGTATAAGTACCTATTTGAATAGGTAGGACCTATTTGAATAGGTTGGACCTATTTGAATAGGTTGTAGATCCAAATTGGTAGAATATGCTCAGATTTGCAATAATAAAGTCCAACAAATGTGGAAAACTCTCTAATTTCATCAGGAAAGAAAAGTACCTATTTGAATAGGTATAAGTACCTATTTGAATAGGTAGGACCTATTTGAATAGGTTGGACCTATTTGAATAGGTTGTAGATCCAAATTGGTAGAATATGCTCAGATTTGCAATAATAAAGTCCAACAAATGTAGAAAACTCTCTAATTTCATCAGGAAAGAAAAGTACCTATTTGAATAGGTATAAGTACCTATTTGAATAGGTAGGACCTATTTGAATAGGTAGGACCTATTTGAATAGGTAGGACCTATTTGAATAGGTAGGACCTATTTGAATAGGTTGAACCTATTTGAATAGGTTGTAGATCCAAATTAGTAGAATATGCTCAGATTTACAATAATAAAGTCCAACAAATGTGGAAAACTCTCTAATTTCATCAGGAAAGAAAAGTACCTATTTGAATAGGTATAAGTACCTATTTGAATAGGTAGGACCTATTTGAATAGGTTGGACCTATTTGAATAGGTTGTAGATCCAAATTGGTAGAATATGCTCAGATTTGCAATAATAAAGTCCAACAAATGTGGAAAACTCTCTAATTTCATCAGGAAAGAAAAGTACCTATTTGAATAGGTATAAGTACCTATTTGAATAGGTAGGACCTATTTGAATAGGTTGGACCTATTTGAATAGGTTGTAGATCCAAATTGGTAGAATATGCTCAGATTTGCAATAATAAAGTCCAACAAATGTAGAAAACTCTCTAATTTCATCAGGAAAGAAAAGTACCTATTTGAATAGGTATAAGTACCTATTTGAATAGGTAGGACCTATTTGAATAGGTAGGACCTATTTGAATAGGTTGAACCTATTTGAATAGGTTGAACCTATTTGAATAGGTTGTAGATCCAAATTAGTAGAATATGCTCAGATTTACAATAATAAAGTCCAACAAATGTGGAAAACTCTCTAATTTCATCAGGAAAGAAAAGTACCTATTTGAATAGGTATAAGTACCTATTTGAATAGGTAGGACCTATTTGAATAGGTTGGACCTATTTGAATAGGTTGTAGATCCAAGTTGGTAGAATATGCTCAGATTTGCAATAATAAAGTCCAACAAATGTGGAAAACTCTAATTTCACCAGGAAAGAAAAGTACCTATTTGAATAGGTATAAGTACCTATTTGAATAGGTAGGACCTATTTGAATAGGTTGGACCTATTTGAATAGGTTGAACCTATTTGAATAGGTTGAACCTATTTGAATAGGTTGTAGATCCAAATTGGTAGAATATGCTCAGATTTGCAATAATAAAGTCCAACAAATGTGGGAAAAGTCTAATTTCATCAGGAAAGAAAAGTACCTATTTGAATAGGTAGGACCTATTTAAATAGGTTGTAGATCCAAATAGATAGAATATGCTCAGATTTGCAATAATAAAGTCCAACAAATGTGGAAGACTTTCATTTAGAAAAGTACCTATTTGAATAGGTAGAAATTACCTATTTGAATAGGTAGAAAGTACCTATTTGAATATGTAAATGAACAAATTTGTTGCAATAAATTCCCACAGATGTAGAAGATGTAGGTATCTAGTTTTTATATGTAGCAAATTACCTATATGAATAGGTAGAAATACCTATTTGAATACGTAGAAAGTACCCATTTAAATAGGTAAAATAGGTACATGTAAAAATGAGAGTATCTAGTTCTCATAAGGATATGTAGAAAAGTACACATTTGAATAGGTAGAAAAAGTAACTACTCGAATAAGTTGAAAAGGACCTACTTGAATAAGTAAAAATATACCTATCTGAATAGTGTCTATTTGAGTAAGTAGAAAAGGCACATGTAGAGGACAGTAACTAGTTTTCATATGAATAGGTAGAAAAGGTAAATAGGTAACTATTTGAATAGGTAGGAAAGCATATTCAAAATGGTCTCTAAAGCCTGAATGTGTTGTAGAGAACCAGACACAGCACCTGGCACTGTTCCGGACTACATCCAACTGTTTCAGGGTCCCTGGAAAAAGTTCCAGTGCCTATGTAATGGATCTTCCTCCCCCAAACAATAAAGAAAAAAAATTTTCACACTCCACTGCTATCACTGGCATTGCAATATCAGTAGCACTTTAGAGTTACCTAGTTAGGTCTCACCCATTCTTATCTGTACACACATCAGTTCACTTGCTGTCATGTACCATGTAATTTATGTACAGTAATGTTGACATGTAGCACTAGAATGAAAGTCTGGATGGTTTATTTTTTTCAATGGTATGTAATTTGGACAGGGTGGTTTGTGTTAAACTCTCATACTAAAGCAGGATAAATGAAACTACAGTAGCAAAACGATAGTATTTCCTTCTTTTAAAATTTTAACGTGCCATCAGAGGGACATTTTACAACACAGTTCACAATGCTCTGTGAGAAAATCAGTTTGGCTGGAAAAATGGGAAGTTCATTTAGGGGAGACAATGAGGAATGCACGGCAACTGAGAGAAGCTGTAGGGGAGAAACTATTATTCATGATACAGTACTTTTAATATCTCATTTATGAAAGAAATACTAGACAAAATCCAGTACATTACAGTATCGAGGTACTAATTATTGACTTCTGCTTGTGGCACAAATTTAGACACTTGTCAATGTGTATTCATACACATTTGGCTTACATCGAGGTCCACCCCCCTCCCTCATCAAGGCCGAATTACTGACCCCGTCAAGGATGCAACCCCCACAACAAGCTAACTAACTCCTGAGTACCTAATCACTGCTAGGTGAAAAGAAATGTGCCCAACCATTTGAACCTGGAATTCTCGATTGTGCGTCGAGAACAAACCCATCTGTACTACCGGGATCCTAACACAGCACAGGGTGGTACAGAGTAAATGTGGGGGATAAAGAGTACATCAAAAAAACAAAATCAAAATGTTTATTCAAGTAAAGTGCATACATACAAGGTGAGATACAAACATTGATGGATTTATTGATAGAGCTAGTACATACAAAACCTAAAGCCACTGTTACACAAGCGTTTAGGGCAGATGCCACATATGCCGATGAAGAGTACATGGGGGTAAAGAATACATACAGCTACATATGGAAAAACAGGGTGCATGTGCTGGTAGTATTGGACCCCAATACCCATTCTGTAGGTGTTCTAGTCCCTATTCTCATCCCATGGGGGGGGGGCCCCCCCCGAGTGGGTTGTGGATCCCATACCCCTCCTGTGACCGGTATTGGTCCCCCTACCCATCCTGTGGGTGGTAATCTAGTGTACCCTATATGCGGTAGAGGTAATCCTGTAAAGGGGACTTCTACAAAACAACCCTCATTTGCAGAATTGTTTAAAAAGATACCTGAAGTTAGGTCTGCAGTAAGGGAAGTTACCATGGAAGTGGCTTCTTCTCAGGAAGCATCTAAATGTACTAGCAGGCTGATGGAGTAAAAAAAAAAAGGGCAGTAGTAATAGTAGGCATTAAGGAGCAAACAGAGTCCAGTCCAGCGGAGAGGAGAGACAAGGACAAAAACGAAGTTAATGAGATCCTTCAAGGGGTGAATACGGAGAGGGCTGACCAGAATAGTGAAAAGGTTTTCAGGCTCGGACAGTACAAGGGCAGAGACCGATTGATAAAGGTAGTATTCACGAGCGAGAACACAAAAGAGGAATTGTTGGCAAGGAAGAGCAGACTAGCAAAGGTACTGAAGTTCTAAAAAGTATTCATGCAGAGGAATATTACAAGTGACGAGAGAATGAGGGAGCGCAGGAAGAAAGAAAAGAATCGGGGAACCACATCCCCAAACCCTGCAATCACAGGGGAGTGAGGAACCCTTCATGAGTAGTTCAACAGCCAGTGAGAGAAGCACCACCCCTACCTTCCACCCAATAAGGCATCCTACCTGCCCCAACCCTGGGAGCCGGTCGGCCGAGCGGACAGCACGCTGGACTTGTGATCCTGTGGTCCTGGGTTCGATCCCAGGTGCCGGCGAGAAACAATGGGCAGAGTTTCTTTCACCCTATGCCCCTGTTACCTAGCAGTAAAATAGGTACCTGGGTGTTAGTCAGCTGTCACGGGCTGCTTCCTGGGGGTGGAGGCCTGGTCGAGGACCGGGCCGCGGGGACACTAAAAAGCCCCTAAATCATCTCAAGATAACCCCTGCCAGCTCCCACTAGGTGCCCACCTAGGGCACCCTCCCCAGGACCTCCCTTCTCCCCCACCCCCCTAAGCCCTGCCACAAACCCTCCCTCCTCTTCAGCCCCACCTTCTCCCCCATCCCCCAAGCCCTCTCTCCTCCTAAACCCCCCCCCCCAAGCCTCCCCTTCTCCCATTTCCCCCCCCCCCCCAAGCTCCCTCCCTCCCTCCTCATACCAGATCCTCCCAGCCCCTGCACACCTCCAGCCCCCCTTTCCTCAGCCCTCCCATTCCAGACCCTCTCTGTTTCCCTGCTTCAGGGGAACCAACAGAAATTGAGAAAGGACAAAAAGTCATTCTTAGGGTGATATACTTGAACATAAACAGGATTACAAGCAAGATGAGTGAATGCAAGAGAAGTGAACCCAGATGTAATCGGACTCACAGAAACAAAACTCTCAGGAATCATAACAAATGCGGTATTTCCCCAGGACTACACTGCAATAAGAGGGAAGGAAGTGGAGGTGGTGAAGTGGCCCTACTATGAGAACGAAATGAGTTTCAAGGAGATGGTTATCCCGGGATGCGAGGGCTTCAGAGACTACATAACAGGCACCATAACAATGGGAGGACCAAGAGTAGTAGTAGTAGCAGTGATATATAACCTTCCACTGAATGACAAGACCAAGGCAAGAGCATGACAACAGCAGCATGGCAGTTAACACTATAATTAAGAGGGCAGCCTCTGTTGCCTGTAGAAATAGATCCCATCTGCTCATCATGGGGGACTTATATTACGGAAGGATAGACTGGGAGAACAAGGAACCGCACGGAGGTGAAGATACATAGAGGGCTAAACTATTGGAAGTGGCGACAAACTTTTTAAGCCAGCATGTCAGGGAACCCACAAGGACAAGAGGAAACGATGAACCAGCGAGATTTGACCTAGCCTTCATTCTGAACAACTCCGACATAAGGAAAATCGGTTTCGAGGCCCCAATAAGAATGAGCTACCCCAGTATACCGACGTTTGAGTATCTGGTTGAAGAAGGGTTAATGAACAAGGGGACACAGGTGGAAACTGAGTACCCAAATAAGCCACAGGGATGTTAGAAAGAACTTTTTCAGTGTCAGAGTGGTTAACAGGTGGAATGCATTAGGCAATGATGTGGTGGAGGCTGACTCTATACACAGTTTCAAGTGTAGATACTGTATAATAAGAGTCCAGTAGGTTCAGGAATCTGTATACCAGTCGAGAGGCAGGACCAAAGAACCAGAGCTCGACCCCTGCAAGCGCAACTAGGCGAGGACACCGGAAGTGGAAATGGAAAATTACAATTATTGTTCAAAATTGATCAGACTATTCTGGTATCTACAGGGATGGGACATACTATGGTACGTTAGGAAGGCTTGGTGCCTGGTGACAGCTAATAACTGCAAATCTACCACAGGGAAACTTAACATTAGCATCATAGGAACTATGAGCATTGTGACAAGTACTATGATAACCCGAGGACTGGTTGGTATGCAACCTGTCTTGTTGCATGGCATGGCTTCAATTCTCAAATAATTATAATCAGAAGAAAAGTCTGAAAATGTTCGCGTAATGAGGGAATCAGATCTTACATAAACACAGTACACATGTCCTCACTCTTTAGATGCCTCAAACAAATGGCACTCATTTGCACACTTTATAATAGTTAAACGTTAGTAAAATATTTCTAAACTTTTATTTTTAAGCATTTAACGTAATGCATTTAATGGTGACAAAATTTGAAGGAAATTACTTTGAGACCTTTCAATTACTGCACCCTCTTCCAGAATCTTGATCTTTTGTCAAGAAATCTGGTTTTTGGAGGAAAACTCAGTGGCAAGATTCAGTCCATTGCTTGAAGTGATCCATTGTACAAGGGTCTGGATTTGGCAGGGTGAAATGTATAAAATGAATAAACTATTTGTAAGTGCATAAATGTATATAAAAAAAGTGCTTTAAATGTTTTTATTTCCTAATACAGTATTGGTTTTATTATACAATTAAACAAAATGCTCAGACATCAGAGATTCTATTAGATCTATATTAGTGTGAATAAACAGTACAGTACTGTATTGCCAAATGTACTGTTTCACAAACTTGCTTTGAAGCACCAAATGCAGCACTTTTTTTTTTCCATTTTTTTTCTGTGGGGGTTTATAGATATATCTTGAGTTATATCTTGAGATGATTTCGGGGCTTTAGTGTCCCCGCGGCCCGGTCCTCGACCAGGCCTCCACCCCCAGCAAGCAGCCCGTGACAGCTGACTAACACCCAGGTACCTATTTTACTGCTAGGTAACAGGGGCATAGGGTGAAAGAAACTCTGCCCATTGTTTCTCGCCGGCGCCCGGGATCGACCCCGGGACCACAGGATCACAAGTCCAGCGTGCTGTCCGCTCGGCCGACCGGCTCCCTAGATGGCATGGACTACTGCTTAATATTGTGACTGCATATGCTGTAATTACTGAAGTGTTGTTACATCATAATAGCTATGCTCATGGTGTCCCATCTTCATAGTACTCTGTCATGTATTGCCTTGAAACGACTGGTTTTGGCATCTACCACTTAACTTGTTCCATCTGTCTAATATGTAAAAATGTTTACAATCATTTCACGTTTTCTAAGTAATTTGTTGAATTACTAGTATAACTACGAATTTAGTATCAAAATATTTTCAACTGAATTCTCTAAGATTATATACAAGAAAACTACAGCACAGTACAGTATTTACACAACGGCAATTTTCATACTTTTTCGAACTGGTCGATTCAAATAAAATAGCTCGGAAACTGAAAACCAAAAATTTTGTAATCAGATGACCGGCTTTAGTGTCACTGGCACATTTATTGTTCGGGGTATGGATGACGAGTTTTAGCATCAGAACACAAATGTTAACAAGACAATTTCTATGAAGTATATAAATCATTGTTATATCATATGATCACATTACATTAAGGCAATAAATTGTTCGCATCAGCATGTACATACCGAGTAATTTTAAAATTAAACAAATTCTAATATTCATTATCTTCAATTCTCAGATCATTTTTTACCAACAATGAATTTAAATGTTCAAATGCCCATTATAATTAACATACATAAAATACCTAGTACATAATAATGCAAGACTAGTATATACAGAATACAAACTACCTTCAGTATTGGTAAAGTGAAGTGTTTATGATGACCTCAGATTTGTATGTAAAACATGGCAAGAATGTACATAAACTCTCCACATAATACCGACTATGAATATTTATACACAGTATAGTATATCCATTTGTATCTGAATGTATGCCCATATATATGAGCACATACATGATCACAAGCATGTATCAATATGTATGTAAACATTCAAATATGCATATATACAAAATTAATTATATAGTATACATACATATACAGATGAACACATGCATGCATTGAGCTATGAGGAAACTAGACTGACCAGTCTGCTCATTAAAACTTATTTAATGAAAAATAATATACGTAGCAATTTAGATTTGAATGAGTTTTCTACTGATGAAAATTCATCTGAATTCAGTAAATGATAATAGCAATACTAAGCAGACCAAGACTAAGTGACCTTTTGTAGCCACTTTCTATTTAATCACATGTTTGATATGAAGATCACTACCCATCTATACGCAACAGTTTCCTCCGTTAAATCGGAACGAGTGGTATCATACACAAAAATCTTGCATGTGTAGCAATCGTTCTACAATACCTTACCTTGTGGAAATTCTAAGGATCAACGTCCCTACAGCCCAGTCTCTGATCAGGCCTCCTAGTTGGTTATCTCGAGATGATTTCGGGGTTTTTTAGTGTCCCCGCAGCCCGGTCCTCGACCAGGCCTCCACTCCCAGGAAGCAGCCCGTGACAGCTGACTAACACCCAGGTACGTATTTTACTGCTAGGTAACAGGGGCATAGGGTGAAAGAAACTCTGCCCATTGTTTCTCGCTGGCGCCTGGGATCGAACCCAGGACCACAAGTCCAACGTGCTGTCCGCTCGGCCGACCGGCTCCCCGGTCGGTTTAGTCAACTAGACCAGTTGGATGCAGTTGCTTGCAGCCTGATGTATGAATCACAGCCTGATTGAGCAGGTATTCTTTGTACGTGTTTATCAAGATCTCTTTCTAATACCACGAGAGGTCGGCCAGTTATGCCCCTTATGTGTAGCAGGAAAGTGTTGAGAAAATTGTGCCCTTTGATGGTGACAGCTATTTCTCAGAACTATCATGCTCTTATTTCTTTTACTGTTCTGAACTTTCTAAATTTTCTGTGTTCACAAAAAATGGGAATTCCAGTGGCACTAAATGTAGAAATATCTTGCGGCAATTGAATGTGAGTAAGTAAGCAGAAAGTTTTTAAGGAGTACCCAAAGTATGCACCAAGGAATCCTCTCTACATCATGAGAGAGTATTGTGAACAAGTAATTATTATAAGGTAAGAAGTCCGTGAAGACTACTCAGTACTGCCCGTGTTGCAGGACTGTATTGTGAACAAAGTGGTATCTACTACATACTGCATAATGGGACCTTCATACCATCATGCATCACCTTACCTTGAGGTTACCTTGAGGTGCTTCCGGGGCTTAGCGTCCCCGCGGCCCTGTCGTTGACCAGGCCTCCTGGTTGCCGGACTGATCAACCAGGCTGTTGGACGCGGCTGCTTGCAGCCTGACGTATGAGTCACAGCCTGGTTGATAAGGTATCCTTTGGAGGTGCTTATCCAGTTCTCTCTTGAACACTGTGAGGGGTCTGCCAGTTATGCCCCTTATGTGTATCACAGTCAAATCTTTACTGCTAACCACAACCATACTAATCAATCAAGTTCATAACTACATATAAAAATAAAAACTCATCAATGTTATCCCTCTTAAATTACTTCCGTCATGGGTATATGGAGGACGTTATGCTTTGAAGAAAACATTTGCTCTGTAATGCTCATATGTAAACAAAATGTTCAATATTTACCGAATTATTGCTGCCATATAATAATTGCTACCCTGCTTGGCTTTCTTTAATTCATGTTTGTGAAAAATAGTAGTTAGTGCAGTATTTAACATTGTAATCAAACTGATTAAACTGCCTCATGCAAAATGTATTAAGGCAGCTCCAGCACACTATTCATAACTTATTACGTTTTAAAAGTTAATTATATTAAAGTAATTATCAAAAGTTACAATGGAGTAGAAATTATTAGTTATTACATATTAACAATTATGTTTAATCATATATTATGTACATATTTGATAAAACATACAAGTCCCATCCACAAATAAAACAGAGATTTTCATATTAATTAAAATTCCATTTTGTAAGAATTAAGAGAATTAATGAGAAGTTTGATATTTGCTCTGTCTAGGTCACTGGCTGCTTAGTGTTGACCTTTTGTACCCTACATCATTTTAATACTTGTACTATCATTTTTACATAAAATATACCTCTGTATGAAACACATTCTACAACAGCCAAATATTTTAATTAGATATCTTACCTGCCGATGTGATTCACCGTCACTCGTCCCTCCCGCCACACACTACTGTGGCTCCACGTGCTCATGCCGCCTCTACATGCACCTCACAAAACTTAAATAATAGTAAATTTAATAACTATTAAAGTAATATTTAAATATTAAAAACAGTAATACCAACTTATGACGAGAAGTACCTGAATAATCCGAGTTTCACAAGTTTTAGTCTCCTCACTATTGCTATCACACATACGACTAGGACACCTAAAGATGATTAAACAGCTTAGAATCACTATACTATAATTTCCCTCTCTCTTTACAATTATGAGAATTCTCAAATCATGAGCACCAGACTAAATATGAAACCACCACAGATTGCATTACTGTACACTGATGGAATTTTCAATCTCCTTGTAACCATTCTGAGCTGTATAAGTCATCCTGGCTTAGTACTTTCTCCCTTATAATTCCTGTTCCTGTAACCATTTTGAACATTTCTTGATATTAACCCTCAAACCGCACATATCATATATAAATGATATCAGTGACAAAACCGAAACCGCGCACATCATTTATATATGATTTCGTGTCTAGCGCTATAATTTAAGGTTGCCAGTTTGTGATATTTGAAAAAAAAAACCTACATTGGTGAGGATTGCCACAGACTTTCCCCATCTTGGTGAAAAATGTAAATGGTTCAACAGCAACCATAATGACATCTGAGCTGGCTCCAACGTTCATCACATAACCATTATGATACCTTTATACACACAACCTTTATTACAAAGCAGAACAATGAGACACTCCAGAGTTTTAGGCTTTCTAATAGACTCCTGTTACGAAAAATGTGGCTATGCATTTACACTCCTGTTTATAAAATTGTGTGCAATGTCACAGAATAACTTAAAAGAACAATTAAACTTAATTAACCGCAACACGGCTGTAATATAACAATGTATTATGTTGGAGGTAAGAGCACAATAGGACCTTCATTTGTATACCTTACTTATTAAGCTACTTCAAATGAAAGTGCAGTTTTGTGCATTTTATTATGCAAAGTAAAATACAGTACTGTATTACCATTTGTTGACAAACATTCATCATCGGTAATGTTCTTGCTGGTCTGGTTTCAAACATTAATGACGGCAGGATATTCAAATCACTTGCAAAATAGTGCACAAGAAACATTCACTGAATAAAAATTATAGTTTTCTAAGTGCAAAAATACGATGTTATTTAAAGATAATTTTCAATATATCGAAATTTTAATTAATTTACGATAATCTTTAACTTTACTTGCAGCAATTCTAAAAAAACATAAATGAACCAGTATAAAACACTGGATTCAGCTTATCAGATTGACTCTCTAAAACATTACAATCAAAGTAACAAAAAAGTATATTTGAGGAGTTAGCTAATAATAACTTAAATTATTGTATCACTTTGATTTAACATTTTTGCCACTCAATTTAAAGCAGAAATTTTAGTTAGACGAAGCCTTTGACCCCAGTCACTGTAAACAAATGGTTCACTATACCACATTAGACTTTCCTACAGGCAAATCTCACATACTGTAATTTATTTACATATCTTTAAAATAAACTATAAACATAATTAAAATAAAAGTAATCATGCACTGACAAAAGCCGTACAATATCTTTAAAATGCAACTGAACACAAAATACCATTGTTCAAGAGTAATTAAAAAATTAACCTTCAAGAATAGTTTCCAAGATAAGTGAAAGACAGCCAAAAACACTTTCTACATTTGTATAAAAATACTTCTTAAAAAAATAGTTTGATGAAAAGTACTGGCCATTTTTCCTGATACTTCAGGAGATATTAATAAAAAATGGCAAGTTTCTGTGGTACAACACGAGTATCCTAACAAAATACAGATAATGTATACAGTACTTCTAAGCTGTTCCTTGAAAACATCAAAATGTTTCCTTTCCGAGCAGAACAACTTTTCTGTACAAGCATTAGTTACACAATAAGAAATTGGCAAGCAAAATTACCTATTCCTAAAAGAATAATGCCAAAATGGAACACAAACTGATACCAATGGAGTTGATCTTGTGTATAGAGCGCAACCATGTAGGTGGCACACGGTAACACGAAGATGTACGCCAGTCCAGCAATAGCACCAATCCAACTAGAAATAATAAAAATTGTATATTTTTACTAAATGAATATACTGATAACTTTGCAATCTCAAACATATTCACATGACACTATTTTCACCTTTACGAAATCCCATACACCAGGCCTCTGCGGAGTCCCCTATATACAGCCCCTACTAAGTCCCATACGTCATGGACTCCTACAATCCTACTTTCCGTACCTATTACCATCATCATACACTGATTCAATAAACATAATTTGTTTATTGTTTATAATTTGTCAAGTTTACAATTTCTGCTATAATCTTCATACTTCCTACTTCATCAGTGCCCTTTTCACCCGAGATGCCTGATGATCAAGTACTGTACATCACTCATCAATTGCTTAGAAATTTTTCTGTCATTAACCCTTGCACTATGCATAGGTACCATTATGGCACTCAGTCGGCGGTGCACATGGTACCTCAAGGCATTTTTACATATAGGGAATGATTCAAGACTTCATCGGGAAAAGGGGCTCGTATCATGTGCCTCAGGACTCCAATAACGGACTTCATCTTGAGCATCCCTACTGGCTGTGAAAGCCTCAGTACTGAGAGACGGAACAAGGTTAGGGCTTGCAGCAGCAGCTCACAGCACTGCTGTGCAGCTAGAGTTCACAGCACCATTTAATTATGATGAATAAAATAAGTAACAAAATAAAATAAACGTAACAAAATAATTTATTTCGCCTTAATAGTGTCAGAAGATGATCCTCACTGTGATAAAGGCTATTTACAATGTCATATTAGTGAACACAATGCTAGCTGTGATGTTCACAGCATGAGGTAGAGAAAAACAGCACCCAGCCATTGTTTCTTGAATCTACGCATCATGAAACAACCTCATGTTCCTTTACAATATAACATTGTGGAAATGGATTCCTATTCAGGATTTGGTGACAGGAAAGTGATAACAGTAGTTCTGTGGCTAGTCATAGCCATGTGTGTAGTATATTGGAAACATTTCCTTGCATCAGGTGACTGCTAGTGTTGTCAGCTCCTATCACATGGCTCCGTGCTGTTTTGATCTCGTCAACACCCGCCAGAACTGCTTATTGGTTCATAATGGTGCATAGAAATGTTCATAGATGTATATATTGAATGAAAAGAAAGAAATGTTTCGATGAATGAAAAGAAGAAATGTTCATGCGTGTATATATACTGCAATAAGCAATAACAGCAAAACTCTTATTGTTTAGGGAATATAATGTCACTTTATATGAGCACCATATTTTCCGGGGGGAGCCCCGTCGGCTCCCCGGAGGTATCCAGGCTCATATTGCTAATATTAGACTTTGGCATCAGTGTAAAAGTTCATAGACCTATGTAGGAACAACGAGCCAGAACCTGGCCCCCTCAGAGAGGCACGAGGAGCAATGGCCTATGGAAACGACCATGTGGTTGGAAGCATTCTGTGTCTGCCATCGACCGGGTCAGGCACCCAGAAAGGTAAGCATCCCACAACAAACCCTAATTCTGGTTAAGAAATTGCAACTAAAAGCCGAACTAGTAGACAGAACTCCCCAAACAAAAACGAGCATAACGCCATCACGTCTCGTCGGCGTGCCGCCGTCTGCGCAGCTCCCCCCTCCATGGAAGGGGAAAGGGAGAGCCCCACACCTCCCGCGCCGGCTATCCAAAACCTCATTTCTGAGGCTGGATATAAAAAACATGCAAAAAACTGCCGACCGGAGGGAGGGAGGGTCGCCTAGGAGCCTCCGGGTCTCACCCAGAAAATGGCGTTTCATTACATTCAATGATGGTTTTCTGGGGGGGAGCCTCGTCGGTTCCCTGAAGCTAACTACCCAAAGACAAGAACAAAAAAGGAGAAACCCGGGAGGCGGAAACCACACGCCCTGAACCTGAAAGCAAGACAACTGGCAACACCAAATGACCCCGCGGACAACCCAGGAGACCCGAACCCTGGAACAGGGATGAAGGGAACTTGGGTCACAGAGGCCGTGGCATGCAGGCAAAGTCCGAGAGCCACACCCAGACAAGAAGAAGGACCCCAGCCAACTAAATAAGCAGCAACAAACCCCAGGAACCCCCTTTGGAAAAAAAAACAGCCGTCCCAACCTCACCAGAAAAGAAGAGACGGCTGCAACAAACAAACCGATCACCAGAAACCACGGATAAACAAACCGGAACCGAAGGGGCCACAACAAACCGAAGGGTAAAGAAAGTGAGCATCCTGTCCAAGACCAAGATGGCTCAGGCGGCTCACGAGCAGGCCATGGGCAAACAAAACCCGAGACAGCTTGCAAAACGGTGCAGAAGGAACACCAAAACTGAAAGCAAGCCGTAACATCTCCGCCAGCGCCGCACGAGACAAGGCAACAGTAGGTATCAAGATGATGGTCCTAAACCCTCATGAGAGAAGGACAAGACCACGTCAACAAAAAACACAGGATACCTGTACCTATACTGTATCGGGAGCCGGTGGCTGAGCGGATAGAACACTGGACGTGTGAAACTGTGGTCCCGGGTTCAATCCCGGGCGCCGGCGAGAAACAATAAGCAGAGTTTCTTTCACCCTGATGCCCCTGTTACCTAACAGTAAAAAGGTACCTGAGAGTTAACCAGCTTTTGGTTGTTGGTTCTTTCCCGGTTCCAGGGAAATAACCAACCCGGACGAGCAATCATGCCCCGCCTGGGAGGAACCCCCCTCCCCACCGGGACCCAGAAAAGGTCAACAAGGCTGATAACGTATGACAACGACAAGCCGCTGCTTGCCGAAAAGCTGAGCCGCAGACTCCGCAAACAGCAATGACAAAATGGCGACAAAACCCCAAGAGCCAGGGCCCAGGCAGAGGCCAACGAGGAAGCGAGCACCACGAGCCGACATGTGAGACGCAAAGCAAAAAAAATCGACACCACAACCCACAGGAGCAGCACCACCAGCTCCAGCAGGACAGAACGAAGCATGCGTCGCTGAATAATAGATGAGGAGAACCCTCCAGGACGTGTACCACACTACAACAAAAAGGTACCATCCGGAAAAGGAACAAAGAATAGGCCGTAGCCATAGCCATAATCCTAGCTCCCCCTGTCCTAACGAAAAGGAACTGAAGGGGCAGGAATGGGTGATTGAAAAGCTACATCCACCAGCAGACATTGTAACACAGAAGCTGGTAGTAACATACAAGATGATGAAAGAACTCGGTTCTATAACTGAACACCGGGGCTGTCCAATCTCAGGGAACTGAATAAAGACCTAGGAAGCAAGTGGTAATGGAATGTAAATGATCAAGTATACAGTATATACACAGACACTCCAATGTACATTTAAGGATGCAGCCAGGCACTGAACAACAGTCAATGAATGAGTCTCCAGAGAGCACCGACTGAGTCAACGAATGAATGCCCAGAGAGCATCAATATAAGCACTAAGTAAGGTCACGTTAAGATGCACGCAAATGGGCCAAGCAACACACTACCCTACACTCGTCCAAAAATCAAGAACCAGCGCCCGGCTGACAGTGTTACCAAACCGTATACTCTCACCTGTAGAGCGTAGACACTATCGTGTAACGACACAGCCGAGCCATGTAACATTCCGGGAGCATCGTCAGATGATTATGTCCAGAGTCGCACGCACTGCAGGAGAAGACTAGGTGTAGTGTAGAGGTGGAGGCGGCGCCACTCCGAGCCACCCCACACCCGTAAGTAGCGAAAAGAACTAGGTGTTGTCCCTACATACAAAACCCAGAACACCCCCAGGATCGAAGGGGGGCTAAGACTGGAGAAAATGAGCGAGTGCAGCATATGACCTTAGATAAAGATTGTAGAACACTAACACACATGCACACCGACAATAAACAAAACAGTCACCCTCGAGCTATGCGCAGAACGCATGAAGACTGAGGAGGCTCCTCCCTCCTGTTGGGGAAGGAGCCTACAAGGTTTCTTAAATTATCATAATAAATACCGAGACAGATTACCGAGAGAAGAGGAGATAAGAAAATTAGATGCAACAGAGAAAGACAATAAGCAGTACAGAAGAGTACAACGAGGCCCATAAAGGACCAGAGGTAAACCTCACTGGAAATCGACAGATGTTCCAATAATATGGCAAGTACGAAGATCCACCCAAACCTTCGAGACCCCCTGATAATCAAGCACAAAATCACAGAGGTCCACAGGGGCCCATGGCCATGCAGGATCCCAATACGAAGTGAACAAGATCATGACATGACGGAGAATACATGTCCTATATAGAAAGTGGAGAAAAGCACCCAAAGGAATGACTGAACCGACGGACCCAAAGGGACACGGAACAGAACCCTGGGAGGGGCAGACAAGAAACCATGTAACACCACTATAAAGTACCATTAATAATATAACACTACTAAAGTTGTACACTAAGTATTATTGTATCCTAGACTATATTTGGTGGTGAGAAGTAAAATAGAGGAAGGAAGGTAGGAATAAGCGATGGAGGAAAAGAAAGATTTAGAAAACACGAGGAGCGCACGGGAAGGGGAAGGGGAAGGTAGGATAAGGAAAGGTGAGGAGGAGGAAGGAGGAGACAAGGGGGATACTGAAGAGGGGTAGGAAGGAGCAGGAGGAGAGAGTAAGTGGGAGTAGATAATAGCCCGAGGAATACTAATATATACTGTGTAACACTTCCTACTGGTTACACTTGGTAACACTGTTATTGAACACTGTATTTATATTTAATGTAATATGAACTGACATGCTGTACCACTGATGGTTACACCGGAACCAAAGATACCCTTCCAAGGAAATGCTACACAGGATTAACTATGCTGCCACCACCTGCCTTGTCCATTAACTATATCAAGCAATGAGGCAAGAAACATTGCTTGACTGGGAGAGTCCTCTTTTCTTACTGTCATAAATTACAGATATCCAGAGGATAAGAGGATCCAACAATTGACACAGACGGAAAGTTTAACAAGAGTTTATTGACAACAAAATATGATATTCACCAACTATAAATCCCTACACTAACACTGGCAAATGTTAATTTAGACATGTGACAATACCATCAGAAATCACAACTTTACCTTAAGACCTCTGTCTCTCCATTCGGTGGATTCACTCTGTCTCTCCCTGGCTGTGTGATGTTCTTCACAGACCCACTCTGGACCTTGGTGTCCGGCACTCTCTCGCTAACTCTTCTACAGGGGCCTATATACACACAAAAAAGGGGGGGGGAGATTTGCTGTTGCTACCTACACTGAAGATGCAAGAGGTCGGGCCACACGTGCACAAACACTTAAGAATTTTTGCCATTAAGATGTTTGACAGACACCATACACCTCTTCAAGGAGGATTATTATTAATTACTGGTGTGGCTGACCTCTGACCTGGCTAAAAGGGGTAGATCCATGGATGTTTACACATAAGAATCTGGGGTCTAATTCCATTACAATGTTTGACAAGAGTATTATGAAATATTAAATACTTGAAACTAGGTGACTAAGACTAACCCAGGAATTTGTAATCAACATGCAAGATGATCCAGAGGTCATCTGGGCTGACCTCTTGGAGAAGGCTTCCCCGAGTGTGAACTCTAGGGAAGAGGGTCATGGGTGTTACAACCAACTCGCACGCAGAGGGGGGGGGGGGAAGAGAAAAACCCCACTCCTAGCAACTACAAGCCTCACTCCAAGAGCACAAAAATCCAAGTGGGACCAAGGCCCCCCCAGTCATCCCATCCCCAGCCCTGGGAACCTCCACGGCAGGACCCAGGGCTGAAGCCGAAAAGCCTGAGCCTCAAGAAAAAGCCGGGGCACCCGTAAAAACATTAAGGAAGGGAGCCCACTAGTCAGACCCATGGAGGAACAGGCTCTAATGCCTCCGTCACCACCCTGGAAGAGGCAATCGCCAAGACCGCCCGAGTTTCAACACCTTCGAAACCCAGCCCCTACTCCGAAACCCACAGATGGTTTGGAGCCAGATGCAAGAGGGGGGGGGAGGGGGGGCCAGACAGAACCACAACAGGGAAAAGACAAGGGGGGTGAAAATGGAACAAAAGCAACCAACACCCCAGAGCCCAGGGTCCCTACAACCAAAACGGGGCAGTCTCGGGGCTTCTAGGTAACAAGCAACCTAGCGCGTTGCACGTTGGGTTCAGGTGGTTGCAACACCTGTGCTGCCTGTACCCGCATAGTCATCATAGGACTGTGTAGACGAGTCACAAACAAGCAACAAAACTTGCAGGACTCCAGGTCAAAGATATCACCGACCCAGTAAGCAGCATGACGGAGGCAAAAACAATGAGAGTCACCCCGAGACAAGGGGACAGAGCAACCCTGAAACTCGCACAAAGCGAGGGGCAACTCAAAAGGTCACATCTATCAAACTCATACGCCCCTGTGGGGATTCCCAGGGTCCTGAGACGGAACATACTCTCAGGGAAGCCCAGGCAAGGTACTGCTAACCGGAACCCAAGTCTACCAACAACCTTTTGAGTACTGAACCCCCGGGACGTGTACACTCACGGGGACCTAGCAGGTGGGGGTACCACCAGAAAACAGAAGTGCACAATATACAAATAGGGGACAACTAAGCAAATGCAGACCCCCTTCCCCACCAGGCAGGGAAAAAAAAAAAAAAAAAAAAAAAAAAAAAAAAACAGCAAGAGGACAACGTACCCAGGCAGAACAGAGCTGGCCGCCATGATAGGTGAAAACTAGCTGTGCAGTACTCTGCGCCCCTACCAGTGCAAACTGCTTATCCTACAGCAAACAAAGGAGCCAGAACACCCCAGCATACAAAGGGTGGCCGAAGGCCGAGCAGCAAATGACCGAACAGGGGCAGAACCCAAGAAACTTGGGGAAGGTGACCCCAAGCCCTAAAGGCAGTACTTACAGGGCACCTAGGGAAGGTAACCCTAGGCGCATGCAGCCTAGAGTTACAATATATTGAAAATAATTTGGGGGGAATGATGCAATGTAGTGGTTAAGGACAATTGTACTTCATTATCAGGTAGGTCACTATACTGTACTGTACACATTACTTAAGCCACTGAGAAGACAATCCCCCTAAAAATACTGTTATTAAATCTTTCTCATGATCAGTTATAACAAATACCTCCACAACAATACTATAAGAGGACATGCTGCCAGCTAATAATTCTTTTTAAATTTAGTTTGAGAAAAACAAAATTTACAACACTTGTCCACTACTAAGAATAAAAAACTGTAATCACAACATCCACACATTCACACTTACCGTATGATAAAACCAATGTTAGGGTAGAGAACTGCGACCAGGACTGAGAGTGTTATCAAGCAGGTGTTAAGCAAAACAACCCTCCAAAGCTTGTACTCATAGCTGGGGCCCATGAAGTATGTGAACAACTGGTTGCGGATGAAAAATCCAAGAAGGGGATACACTGTGAGGATCTGGAAGAAGAGGAAGCCACGAACCACCGCCAACACCAAGTCATGCGGAGGAAAATTGTCCAGGAAATTCTGTAATGAAGTGCAACCTAATTAGCTTGGAAGATTAAAATGCAAGTGGCTAAGTAGATATCCTGTCTCTTGACAAACTATATAATCAGGTTAAAGCAAAACTTATAAGTACCAGTAACACTGAAAATATGGCTCTGAAGTTAGTGCAATATTGCAAACTAGTAAAATACTAGAATAAAATCAAAGCATTACTTACATCAACCACACAGTATTTTGGAAGTGGGAATGTGGTGAAGAAGAAGAGAGCAATGGGAATGTAGGTGGCAGCAACAAGCAAGTAGGCCAGCGTCAGGTCTCGTACCTAGGAAATAAAACACAAATATACTACTAATGTACTGTATTATAACCATAATGAATGCATTTTCCTAGACGAGTCTTAGGCATATGATTTACGAACACACACACACACACACACCAAAGCTTGAGCTCTGACCAAAGAGCCAGAGCTCAACCCCCGCAACCACAACTAGGTGGGTGAGTACACACACACACACACACACACACACACACACACACACACACACACACACACACACACACACACACACACACACAAAGGGTGATGTAATGAGCATCATTTACATCACTACATCACTCAAGGGTGATGTATACTGTTAAGCACAGAGTGATGTAATAAGCACAGGGTGGTGTAATAATGTTCAGTACAGTGCATTGTGATGAGGACAGGATGGTGCAATGCTTTTAATATTTCCCAGAGAGAGGGAAAGAAATAGGGGGAGAGAACAAGCAACTGCTTGGTAAAGCTTTGAATCTATGAATGTATCGCCAGCATTTAATCTTGGTTGCACCAAGTTTATCTTTAGCTACTCACGAGCATCTTTCCTGACCCCTGTGAAGTTTTGTGGTGGTGGTAGTGGTTCCCAGAATAAGAGCCTAAACTGTACATGTATCTTATCTATGATACAAGGGATACATTACATAGCAGCCCAGTGTAAGACCTCAGAAAAATATAACGGCTTTGCTAGTTTATACTTGGTCATTAAAATTACACCAATGATAATCATAACAAAATTACTTTTACTGTATAAATCTGCTTACATTGTTTTCTTGATGTCTGTTGCCCTGCATAATGGTGACGACACAGTTGTGGATGAAGTATGCCAAGGACAATGTTCCTGACAAGCACATGAAGGTTTTCTGCCAAGAAAAGATTTGTATTTTTCATTAATAGTGTAACCTTCAGTGAGGTAATACCTCTAACTACAACACTTAATTATGTACTTCCCAAATACCTTTTCCTACAGGCACAGCAGCAAGAAAGATCCCCACATTCTTAGGTTCAAACTCTAGACAATCCCTTGTACAGCTTACAAAATTGCATTATGTTACACTATGCTTTTGATTAGTATATACAGTATTCAAAATGCATAAGCTTGCAGTTGCCAGATGAGGTAGGTATTTCTCTGAACTTGGGCTGCACTGACAACAACAACAAAGCAATACATAATGAATGAGGAGTCATGGTAAAGCCACTCAAAAGAATGCCACATTGCCTGTTTGGTTACTTCATGAATGATGCAACTTGCATATTCTGACACTGGAAACCATGAATATGTGGCCAGAGCAGGAGTCATATAGCCTCAATAATTACACACAAGGAAACTGGAAAACAAGCACTAGTGTTGAATGTAATGAAACGCCCTTTTCTGGGCAAGACCCAGAGGCTTCCCGAAGCTATCCGGCTGATATGGATGTATAAACTTTGGGCATCAGTCAATGTCCATGGAGTTCTAGGCCTAACGGGGACCACGAGCCAGAACCTTACTTTCTCAGAGAGGTACGAGGAGCAATGCCCTAGAGTTTAGAAGTACTCTATGTCTGCCATCGACCGAGTCGGGCACCAAGAAAGATAGGTGCCCCCCAAACCCCTCCCCATTCTGGTGAAGAAATGCTACCAAACGCCGAACGAGAGGATAGAACTCTCCACGAAGAAAAACAAACGAGCATGACGTCATCTCGTTACCAATGTGCTGCCATCTGCACAACACCCCCCCCCTCCCAGGACGGGGAAGGAGGAGCCCCAGACCCCCTGCCGGCTACTAGAGCCTGTCAATTCTCAGGCTGGATGTCAAAACACGCGAAAAGAACCGCCGACTGGAGGGAGGGAAGGATGCCTTGGGAGCCTCCGGGGTCTCACCCAGAAAATGTTTCATTACATTTAATGCTGGTTTTCTGGGGGAGCTCCTTTGGCTTCCCGGAGCTAACTACCCAAAGACAAGGACAAAAGAGGGATAACCCGGGAGGCGGAAACCTCGCACCCGAGACCCGAAAGCAAGACAACTGGCAACACCAAACGACCCTGCGGACGACCTGGGAGACCCGAACCTGGAAACAGGGAACCCAGGCAACGCAAAGCACGACCAGGGCCACAGCACACAGGCAATGGCAGAGAACCACAACCAGACACAAGGAGATGCACCCCCCCAGCCAAACCAAACAGGAATTAACAGTCACAGGGACCCCCTCTGGAAAACAGCCGGCCCAACCTCGTTAGAAAAGAAGAGATGGCTGCAAAGGAACAAACTGGACACCATAACCCACAGGAGCAGAAAACTTCGAGAAACAACCCTGAACCAAAGGAGCCACAACAAGTACCCAAATCAGCCACAGGGACACGAGAAAGAACTTATGCAGCGGCAGAGTAGTTAACAGATGGAATGCATTAGGCAGGGATGTGGTGGAGGCTGATTCCATACACAGTTCCAAATGTAGATACGAAAGAGCCCAGTAGGCTCAGGAATCCATACATCAGGTGATTGACGGGTGAGAGGCAGGACCAAAGAGCCAGAGCCCAACCCCCTGCAAGCACAACTAGACGAGTACAAGAAACCAAAGGGAAAGAGAAGAGAGTCCCCTGGCCAAGACCAGGATGGCTCAAGCTGTGCATGAGCCGGCTGGGGGTAAAACAACGCCCGAGACAGCCTGTGAAAGGTGCAGAAGAAACATCAGAACCGAAAGCAAACTCGAGCAGCTCTGTCAGCGCCGCACGAGATATGGTGAAGCACGCAGGTGGGACACCAGGATCAAAACCAACTGACCACCAAACAGATGGCGAGAGACCCGAGTCAAAAGCACCAAACGCGGATGGCAAGTCCTCTACGGGCTCACCATAGCCCGTGCTACTTGCCCTGCTCCTGTGCCAGGTAAGTTACTAGCTCACCATAGCCCGTGCTGCTTGGAACTTGTTCCAAGTAGCTGAATCTATAACACCACCACCACCACCAAACGCAAAGACTCGAGAAAACCGAACCAGCCACATAACGGACTGGACCGAACATCTGAAAAAGGCAGAGATGTGGGGAAAAACCAATGGGAAAAACCCTGGTCATGGACACCGAGCAAGCAGCACCTGAACAAAGGCTCAAGGAACCAGATGGAACCAATGCTAGGTCACCAGGAATCTGAACCCGGCGAGCCGGGAAAGAACCAAATCCCTGGTGAGCAGAACCACCCCGTCTGGGAGAAACCTCTTCCCGGGACCGCCGAAGAACCAACAAGTCCGACACGAACGACAACTAGAAGCTGCTGCTTGCAGAAACTGCCCAACCGCAGACTCAGCAAACAGCTAGGACAATGGCGACAAAAACCGAAGAGCAAGAACAGAGAAGAAAAATCGAAGCTGGAGGTACACGACCAAAGCCCATCAGCCAAGAACTGACAGGCTCGGGTAGCCGGCGGGGGTTCTGGGGCTCCCCCTTCCCCCCTCCCAGGGAGAGGGGGGGGGGGGTTGCACAGACAGCGGCGTATTGGTAACAAGATAACGTCATGCTCGTTTAATCGTTTTCCTTCATGGAGAGTTCTATCCTCTCATTCGGTGATTGGTAGCATTTCTTTGCCAGAATGGAAGGGGGGGGGGGGGGGCGGGGGTCTATCTTTCTGTGTTCCCGACCCAGTTGATGGCAGACAGAGTACCTGTACTTCTAAACTATATCCTGTATAAGGTGTGTCTATAGGCCACAGCTCCTCACACCTCTCTGAGGGGGCCAGGTTCTGGCTTGTGGTCCCCGGCAGGCCTAGAACTCCATGTACGCTGACTGATGCCCAAAGCTTATACATCCATATCAGCCAGAGAGCCGAAGGGGCTCCCCCAGAAAAGGCATGGAATAAAAGGAAAATCATATTTAATGAAAGTGGAAAAGGCACATGAAATACAATATACTGTACCACCAAAGGGTAGGTTGAGCACCCTGAAGACGCACAATAATTCATGCGAGAAAGGAACCGCTTTTAATCTCCTAATACGTAGTGCTTCCATGATAGACGAGGCCCATCTTGCCTATTGCCTATCAAATACAGTAAAAATAATGTAATAAAAATACTGATATGCATCCAACCTTAAAAAGAGGAACATAGAAGACATCAGATGGGTCGCTGAAGTTAATGTTGATGCCCCAAATAAAAGCCTTGGAGACAACAAAAACATACATCACCAATACTGAGATGGCACCTGAAAACCAACATGAAAATCTTCCATCACATTTTGGGAGTAAGTATTATAGGAGTGTGTGAAGTGTAATTAATGAATGTGCTGAAACACACAAGTGAACCCTGTTCCGCTTTATTGGAGAAAACTGACATTAAAAACATTATTCAAAGCAAAACTTAAGAGTTTGTTATGGGTTACAGTCAGAGACGGGATGAGTTTAGGCCAAGGCTTTCATGGACTATGTGTTGCTACTTGTCATAGGAGTAGAAACGGTAGTTTTACTCTTACTGGAAGGAATAATTAAGCTGTAATTGATGCTAATTTTGTCTGATCTATCCTTGTTACATACCATAGCAAGAGTTACACAAGTCTAAATGGCACAGTATTAGAGGCTTAACCTCAAACCTTTTGTAACTTTTGTACAGTATTCTACAATATAAGGTTTACAAAGGTAGAGTGAGTGTACACATCTACTGTTGTTACTGCACTATTGTACAGTATTTGTGTACCTCTTGCTATGGCATGTAACAAGATCAGAAAAAAATATACCATCTGTTACAGCTTAGTTATTCCTTCCATTGCCAGCACAAGTATATATAACAGACATGGGTTTGGGATTATATAACCCATACACCCGAGTAGATTAAGATTATCCTGCCCGAAACGCTTTGCGTAATAGTGGCTTTAGGCATTGTATGTACTAGCTCTTATCTATAAAGCCAACAAACTTTGTAAAATCTCTTTATGTATGTACCTTTGCCTAAATAAAAATTATTATTATTATTATTATTATTAAGATACATAAATATTGAATAATAGAAGTGACAATTGAATGGGGATAGGCCATTTCCTAATTCTTGTAATACACTATTTTTTTTTACATAATTTTATACCTATCACAAATCTAACCAATTATAAATCTAATTTACAATATATAATCCAGATCACAGTCTTACTAAATAAACATTTCATAAAGCTCATATTCCATGATACCTTACCAAGAGAGTTGAAGTATGTAAATATTTTGGCATCACGAAGGTTAAGGATGAAGAGAAAGGGTACAATAAGGTATAATGGCACAGTCAAATCTTGTTTCCACCAGCGATGAAATTCACTTGGGTCTGGTGCACTCAAGTCATTATGTGTCACATTTGGGGGACACAGCAAGGTGTTCGACGATTCATTATGTATTTCACCATTTACCGCATCTGAAAAATACAACGGAAGCAAAGATGTCTAGAAAACCGACTCGAGTTGCTCATGTGTATCTATAGCCTTCAGGCAACATTTTTTAATGTAAAATTGGAAGTAAAATTTAATAAATTTATGAACAAATCCACAAGGGCTGTGACAAGGATTTGACCCTGCATCTGAGAGCATCCCAGACGCTGCCTTACTTGACTGAGCTACGACATAGTCGATTAAGGCAGCGCCTGGGATGCTCTCGGACGCAGGTTTGCAGTTAGAAAAAAACATTGTATTCAGTATAAAATGTATTTGTAAGTTATATTTTGGATGGTAGGGAACGGATTAATTCAATTCCCTTTATTTCTTATGGGAAAAATCGCTTCGACTTACGATATTTCAACTTACGATCCGTCTCTGGGAACGGATTACCATCGTAAGTCGAGGCCCCACTGTATAGCTTATTGGGGCCTCAGAGTAAATTGAAAATAGTTGACTTGCAACATATTTATCCAAAGAGCAAGAAGCAATTTGGTAAGGAGTTGTTAAAGAATCCCACTGATCTAACAGACACTTTACACTACCACTCCTTGCCAACCATCATCATCCTGACAAAGGTATTAACTGTAAGGGACGTTTCCAATCATTTATCAATCTGAACATTTCTAGATAACGTTCTCTCCTTAATGAAGATCTGTGGAAACAGCTGTAACTTTCGGGATGAAGTATTAATGACAATTAAGGTTGGGAAATCTGTGGCCCCTGGGGAGGATTACCTTGCCTTGCAGTTACTTTTTCTTTCAAAGGTTCCTAGGATCAACGACCCCAGAGGGCCGGTCCCTGACCAAGCCTCCTATGATAAGTGGTCTAGTCAATCAGGCTGTTTGACGCGGCTGTAATTTGTACACATTACATTATAAAAGCATAAATAATCATCATTCAGTTTGTTAACATTACTAGCCCAACTTGCTTTTAAACTAGCCCAAAAAGTCGCAAGTAGCGAAATTAAAAATTTGGGAGCGCGGAGCTTTCAAAAGTAACCCAATTCGCTACTTGTAGCCCAATCTGGCAACCCTGTGTCCTACTGCCTTAAGCAAAGCAACATTATTAGTTTTGGAGTTTATTAGTTTTGTTATTCTTACACATTTTGTGGAGGGGAAGATAATGGTCTTGTACTGGTTAATGCCCTTAGCATGACTTACCCCGATGAGTACAGATATCATGTAACTGTGTATGAAACGGACTTCATTAAATAAAAAAAAAACTCTTTAGATACTAATTACCAAATTACATGTTTAAAACTAAAGGAAATAGCTGTTTGAAGTACAACTCACCATAGATTATCTCTCCCGTATTGAAGAGGAAATTGGACATGAGGACCCAATAGACAACCTGGGCACCAACCAACGTGAGCACCGAAAAGCTCACCGTCAGACATTCAGTTAGTTTGCCCAGCGTTCCTCCCAGTAACTGCAAGCACACTCGACTCAACTCCATCGATGGACCTTCCAAGCCTGCAGCCAAATATACAAGTTGAATTTTAATTCTGTAATGAACAAATCAAAATATGAGCTTTCTCATAACTAACGAGTAACTCGACTTTCAGGGTCGGAAAACGAAAAATATTCGAATTATGTGAAAATTACTTAAAAATGTTAACCACTGCACTGCGCAAAGCGCCTTTAGGCGCTCAGAGAGTTGTGCCCTTTGTTTTTTAATTTGGCTATATTTTAATGTTTTTTAATGTTTTCATTACTATTTGTGTTTTGAAATGGAAATAGTTGACTTTGGAAACATTTTGACATTAAATTTACCTGAACATTTGTAAAAATAACAAAAATATGTCCTTGACAATTGCACCAAGACGTTTTTGCCGAAAATAGGTGAGCAGTGCAAGGGTTAAACAAATCTCCAACTTATTGGCTTCAGCGTCGTGTAAGTTTCATCCCAATAATTTCAGAAATGGATTTTAGACGATTTTAAGAAAAAAAGTTTTGTTGATAAGAAAAGCTCCTATTAACTTCAATTATCTCTATAAATTAGAATTTCAACTTTGAGTTAGCATAAAAAATCCAGTTTCTGACCAATTCTCACCATTTTTACATAGTGGGCACAGCTGTCTTTTCTACAATCCTATTTGATTCTTATTCATAAACCTTAAATGTTGGGAGTTATAAATTTTTTGGTCTAAATTTGATGCATATTTCAAATGGCATATTGACAATTTTTTTTACAGTAAACTATACTGAATCCTATAATAATACTAAGTAAAAATGAAGATCATATGCTCTTCTGAGAGCATAACACCAAATGAACAATGTGATATTTTATATTTTTGATGCTCATTTGAAAATCTGAAATTTTCAGTATTTTTAAAATTATTTTTAATTTTCTTGTTTTTCAAGTTACATTGGTGAATATTTAGACAAAGTTGGAGCTTGTGCTTTGTAGATTATGTACAAAAAATGTGAAAGCGTTTGAGCAAGGTTTAAAATTTCATTTAATTTCATTTCCTGTCCCCTTAAGTGGAATTACTGAATGCTCCTCTGTAATACTGTACTGTAATTAACAAACCAGATAACATGTCCTTAAATAAGGAAGGCAGAGTCTGATAGATAATTTTTATTCAACCAACAAAGACATTACAGTACTGGAAATTAAGAAATTATTATATACGAAGATTTTATAAGCACAGCTGGTATCAGCTATGATTAAATTATTTAAACGTTTTAAACTTGCTTAAAACTATTGTATAAAAGATTTTAAAAAAATAATGAAAGATGATCAAAGGTGGGAAATAAGGCTACCAATTGTTTTTTGCAGAGTAAGGAGTCGTATAGCTGTATATAGGGAGAGTGCAGCCATGCCAACCATGATGATCAACCCTCCGGCAAAACCTGCTTGACCAAATGCCCAGGGCATTGTCATCAAAGAGGTGCCCATCATTGTATTCCAAATAGCAATTCTGTAAAATAAATTAGGATGCATCTAAATACATAACCGTACACAGTAAACACCTACAGTAATTTACAAAAATTAACCTGCATATTACCATAAAATAGTTTTAATGATATAAAATTATGCAATTGATGACTGCAAAATTATAAGCTAGTTCTACTAAATAACAGTGAATGAATCAAATGTGATAAATACTTGAACTCAAACTCACATGGTGATGTGTGAAGCCTGTTTGCCATCCGCATCTGGTTTGTGGCCAGGTATGTACGGCAGGAACAACTCTGCAGGAACAACATGGTCGGGTATCACCTGCAATATTTACATTCATAAGAACTTGTATGCAAATCTTCAATGTATAGTAACAATGCTGTAGTGACCTGTATATATTACACACGATTCTGAGATCACAGGCCACAACTCTCCTACGACTAGTACGTAATCAGTTCATCATTAAAGTGGAATATCCACAGGGAAATAATTCATGAATGGAAACCAAAAAATACAGGAATAAAGAGGTAACAAGACCCAGTCATAAGGCAAAGCAAAAAGACTTTAAACAAAATGAAGCTCAGATTTCAATGTTTAAATATTATGGTGTTAAGTAATATACTGTAATTACAGGCAATGAATAAAAATATCCAAAGAAAGGCAAGAGTAGAGTCTAATGGAGGGGATTCATGTTCTCTATTATACTAAGTCTTCCCTCAAAGCACTAATTTCCATAATTAAGCCAGCCAATCTGTGAGAATCTCCAATTGAAATTATTAGTTAACAAATTCTTGATGCATAGTACCAAGGCCTGTTCACTTGGATGAACATCTGCTCGTAGTCTGGAATAGTATCTGTAGCGAGTGTAGAGGTGAGTGTCGGTATTACTGCTGTCAACTGGTCGAACACCTGAGGTCGCACTGCTGCTAGCAACAGCATGGTGAAATGGTCGCCTGAAACAACGGATCTGATTAAAAGGCAACTTCGACTGCTCAGGATACCTTCATCATAGTTGGCTGCCAATATCTTTATCAAACCACAAGCTGAGAGATAGTACCTTCACAGGGCTACTAAATTAACACAAAAGAATCCAGAAGTGCATCTTTAGCAACTGCAGCATCTGAAATTAAATACCACCTGTACATATTTAAAGAGTATTCATGCCTTCTGTCCTCATTTAAATCAAAGAAGAATTTATCTGTACAGACTCATTAACAAACTGGAATTAACAATGGTGTGAAAGTAACACTGACCTACAAGTAGTGTGAGGGAATGAAACTTGTGGCCAGAGATATTCCATGTTGGTACCCTACCAACACTACCAACAGGTAGGGAGCCACTGAGGGGCCCCAGAAAGAGGCATTTCATTACATTAAATGATGGTTTTCTGGAGGGATTGAATGGTAGCTCCCTGTTGCTAATCACAGAAAGGAAAACATAGGACTTGCCAAGTGAGAAGATCAAAGATCAAACCCCCCCCCAGGAAGGGGTTGGGGGAAGGTTAAGACCATGACAGGAAACCCTAATCATGGCAACACAAGTGCAATGGGGACCAGGATCACTGACCAGGTAACAAGCCGCCAGGACACCGCAAGACCTCCAAAACCTAAGCCCAAGAGAAATGAGAAAAATTACATCCAAAGCTGCAAACTTCCAAAGCCCATGTGCCCAAGTGTAAACCACAAGCTGGCAAGATTTTATAACCCTGCACATGACTTAAGACAAACGAGCCTTGGAATGGGACCAAGGAGACCGGACCAACAAACAACCCTCGAACAATCCAACCATGGACATACAAATCCAGAAGAAACCAAAGGGCCCCACTGGAAGCCAACCATCTACATCTTCCCCAGAATAGGATGAGACTACAGATGAACAAACCACCAGGGCTGAAAGAACAAAAAGCCTGGAAAAAGGAATTGCCGGCTAAAGGGGTAAACGAGAACCAATGAGACAAAAAGAAAACCAACACAAACCAGAGACCAATATGGCTCAGAAGGAAAATGAGTAAACCAGAGGGGAAAAGACCACAAGACAGTTCACTAAATGGAACCGAGGAAGTGCCGACACTGAAAGCCAACAAAAGCCAAGCGATAATAGATGGTATTTGGGCAAGATGCAGAACAAAACACCAGGACAAAAGGAGAGGACCACCAAATCCAACATAGAAGACAAACAAACAAAATACTAAGTGCCAGAAACTCTCATACTGCCACTGTGATGAAAGATGCAGGTGGAAGACCAAGAGCTCAGCCACCTGTTCACCACACAGATAGCAATAGACAATCAGAAACTCCACTTGCGAAGATCGAAAGAAAACCTTGAATGATCAAGGAAGGTCTCTGGACCAAAGGTTGGGCAGGCCACGAAAGAGCCACAAGGATCACCCTGCCAGTGTAAGTCACCAGTCTGTACAAAACTTGAAGCAACTACCGAACCTGAGGGAAGAGATAGAGGAACCTCTGTCAAGCCAACCAAAACAACAAGAGCGCCTCATACTCGGAAAACAGAGCCACATTGGAAGGATGCTGCCAGTTCCAAGCCAATAATAAAAGGTCCACCTCATGGTGCCCAAACAGCTCGCAGAACCAATGGAAAGACAGCGATGGTCCACTCTGTGGAAATGGGACAACGACGAGACACCATTCGTGAGAACTTTGGATACACGTACTGTAAGTTAGCAACATGGGAAAAAATGTTCAGCCCTTACAGGAAACCAACAACGAACAGAATGAAATGACTCTTTCTGAGGGGGGCCTTAGTGGCTCCCTGGACCCTCCCCTCCCACTCAGGTGTGTCAGTTTTCTTCAGCGCTGGACTCATGATTGTTGACATGGGCAGCTGGCAGAACCCATGGTGCTGCTACCTGATGGCCAATTATAACTAGATGGAAGGAGGGGGGGTTATGACCTAACTACTAGGTGGATCATTTGCTAGGTTATTTGCTGTAATGTCCGTTTACTTTCTGTGAACCTTTTCACTTATGTTTTTCTTCACTTAATTTTTTTACTTTGGTTTCTTCAGTGAAGATGATCATGAACCACATGCTCCCTGTGGTTCATGATCACTTCCCCCACCTCATGATCCCCCCCTCTGAGGGGGGGCCCAGATTTTTGCATCTGGTGTCCAATAGCTTATTAAGGACTCCTAGGGCTGATGTGCAGCTAGCTACAGGGAGTCACTGAAGCCTCCCCAGGAGGCATTTTATTACATTCAATACTTTGATTTTTTTGTGAGGTGTGGTAGTAGTCCCCTGTTCCCTTTTTTTCCCATGGGGTCTGACAGGTTGAACGAGACCCTGGGTGACCTGGGCTGCCATCTAGTGGGGGGTCAGACATCTCTGGATATTTACCCCATAGCAACAATCATTTGACTTGTTTACCTGGGGGGGGGGACTAAATTTCCTTCAACAGTCACATGTTAAGTTGTGTGCGCATTTTCTGGTGGATTCTTACATAGGTTTGCGTAAATCTCCGATCCCCCAAGCTTCCCCCCCCCCCATCACCTTGTAAAGTAAGCCAGATTCTAGTACTGTACTGGCTTCTGGAAATGAAGGATGGGTCACTTATCACATTGTAAGGTAGTTTTTGTCAAGTTGCCTGCTATTACCCGAGAAACCAAACTTAACTTCCTTCAAATAAGTTTGATAATGTGGACACGAAAAAAATAGACAAAGAAGTTGGGATACAAAATTAGAAAAGTGAAGCAGCTACAAAATACAGTAAATCAAATATGTTTTATTCATTATTTTTTATATATAAGTACTGTACATACATTTCATAAATAGGTAGGAAATGTACATTACATAAAGCCACTATTACATGTGGTGTTTCAAGGATAATGGATAAATAATGCAGTAATACTTACAACTAAAAGATAAGTTAACATTTTTAAATTGCTGAAGAGATCTAGCAAATGATTGAAAAATTTTAAATGAATGTTTAGAAACTGCAATTTTTAGCAACATTACAAATATAGTAATTAATGTTCACAATAACAGCAAAATACAGGTTGACATGTACGCAAACAAGACATGAAAAATGTAAACGGTGACAAATTCATAACACTTTTTCATGTTTTATGCAAAAAAACAGCAAAAGTAAAGAACAAATATAAGTACTATACAAATTACAGTAAATATCTCACCTTTTGGGCTTATTGTCGGATGTGTACGGAGAGGGACCCACTGTAATTGACCATGAACTTGCGTAAAGGCTGGAATAAAGTTAATTATTAGTCAAGAAATATTGGTATTAATAGAACTGGAACAATAAATTGGAAGACCTTACTGGTAGACAATATTTTGCTCTGAAGAACTTAAGAGAGTTCATCATCATGCCACTGTGTGGCATCATCTAATAAAGTTTTCTGATTTGATCTTTGAACTAAAGTGTCACCACTTGAAATTTCCCAATAAATCAAGGAACATAAGTGTTGTTGTAAAAACAGTACTGTAGTAGTAACTCGCCAAACAACAAGGGCAATCCAAAAGACATTTTCTTCATTATTTCAAGGAGTTCGATATACAGTAGAGGGATTTGGAAGTTGTATTTTACAGTGAATTACAGCTATTCACTTTGAAAATATAAAGTAAATAAACTATAGCATTCACTAACCCGGTAAGGGAAGACGACGGTCTTAACAGTGGTGTACGTTCATCAGAAAATCGGGGACAAGAGCCCGAAGGAGGATCACTGAATGGGAGGCCCAACACTGTGTTACATCTGGGTAGCCCAGATTCATCCTCACTCCTGTCTTCCTCCTGTGCACTCTCCTTGCCATCTAAGACTTTTCCATTATTACTCTTAGTGTCCTCTTCTGTGGTGGAGCCCCTGCTCTTTTCCTCATTAAATATTAACTCTGGTGTATCTCTATCAAGAGACATCTTTCTTTCAGGCTTGTCCATTACAATCTGAAAGGTTAAAGATTTAGCCGATTTGCAGAGCTCAGTGCAACACCAACTTGCACACTATGAGCAAGGAACTATGAGACAGTGATGTGTCTATGTATGTATTAACACGTACTGAATGAGGTGAGAATAGCTTGAGCTACCTCATCCCTTTGTGTGTATTTTACCTCAATAAACTTATTTCAATGAGACATGGTATAAAGGAATTTCCCCTTCTTTATCCCTTACACTAAAAGCTCAAAATATACAAGGAACAAACTCTGATAAATTATTAAAATCCAGCACAAATTCTTTTCATTTTAACAATTGAAGTGCTCATACCACTATACACCGGATGCTTAGTTAAAATTTTACTAAATTTAGCAATTATGAACTATTTCATAACCAAATGACTAATTCAAAATTCAAATTCAAATGTTTATTCAGGTAAAGTACATACATACAAGGGGTGATACAAATATTGATGATTTATAGATAGAGCTAGTACATACAATGCCTAAAGCCACTATTACGCAAAGCGTTTCGGGCAGGAAAAACACTAAAGACTAAAACTTGATACTAATTGAGATTAAAGTATAAAATGTGTTGAGAAAATATAAAAATAAAAAAGGGGGGAACATGGCAGAAAAACGGCAAAAATACAAATTGGTCAACAAACGGCATTGTTTACAAAAAGCAGACATGGGTTGACAATATAGGGGTAAGGTAGGTTACAGGGAGTTAATTAGGTAGTACTTAGCTTTTATCTTAAACTGGTTGGGAGAGGTACAGTCTTTAACATGATTGGGAAGGTCATTCCACATTCTGGGTCCCTTGATTTGTACAGCTAATTTGATGGAATGATTAAACAATAGACTTTTTTATATAGAAAATATACCAGGTAAACATTTGCAGCACACACTCACTATATATGAGGTAGTAAGCAGCACATGAGTCACTCCTGGGAACAGTCACTAGGTCAACTCTGCTACTCTACCAGTCAACACCACCACCCAATAAAATTAACACACACATCAACTATTCAACTTTCACTCACATTATCACAGTCGTTTGGCAGTCCAGTGTAGGAAACTGCGCGGCCTTCACATTCTTCGCCATAATTAGCATAACACTTAAAAACTATTATTAAACATAAATTAATATTATCTAGAGTAACAAATGAGGCGAACTAAAACAATTAATAATTAGGTTACGAGTCTCTCAATTCCCGCCGTCTTTACTGAACCCATCGTGCAGCAGCTATGGCTAAAGGTGGAGAGGTACCGACCAGCTAGCGGAGCGTGGAGGAGCATGTGACCAGCTGGAGGAGCGAGGTGGAGCATGTGACCGTGACCAGCTGTTGCTATGGCTGAGACCAGTTGACTTGTGTTTACCTCCCTCTGGCCCGCGCCACACTGGCCACCTCGTACCTCACGCCGCTCTTGTCGAACCTCCCGCCCTCTACCTTCTCCATCCCCTTGTATGACAAAGATATATTTTTGTATTTATATATAACAAAATAAAATATATAAATTCACACATGATGCATATAAGAGAGCTGAGCCACGCCTCTCGGTGTGTATACACTGAGTTTACTTTAGTTCTGGAGTAAAGTTTCGGAATAAATGTCTTTCTGAAGATGGAGACAACATCTGAACGACATGACGGCTTTGGAGAAAGTGTACCACACCTGGCAACAAAAATTATTCCAGAACTATGAAAACTCTCGTACTAGGAAAGGTTGAGGGCCACAGGACTAACAACACTGCAAACTAGGAATGCCAGCGATTATAACGAAACTTAAAATACTGAACAACTTGGAGGATACTGATCCTGACAACTTCAAAAGGTCAGTGCAAGAAACTCAAGCCACAATACAGGACAGAAAATAAATGCTTCTTCACCCATAAGGTTATAAACCCATGAAACCGCCTACCCGCCGAAGCTATAAATGCCAAAACACTGCTGAATTGTTTTCATCTTTATATCATTTGAAAAAAATCTGGACAAATGAGAAGGGGGGGACTTTGATAAGCCGCCGGCTTTCTGTCCTCGTCGAGGCCAGTATAAACACAGTAGCCTTCAAATAAATTCTGTTTTACAGCCCCGCTCCTGTGCCAGGTAAGTTACGGGATCACCATAGCCCGTGCTACTTAGAACATGTTCCGAGTAGCTGAATCTATAACAACAACAACAACAATAGATAAATTCAGGTAAAAATTATCTTATCGTCCACAAGTGTGTCCTAGCGGTTGTATCTAATATCCCCACCTCACAGGCTGGTGTTATATATTGACTGGAGAAAACACCTAGCATTTTGGAGCACCGCTCCTGTGCCAGGTAAGTCCACTACGGGCTCACCATAGCCCGTGCTACTTGCCCCGCTCCTGTGCCAGGTAAGTTACGGGCTCACCATAGCCCGTGCTACTTTGGAACTTTTGTTCTAAGTAGCTGAATCTAAAACAACACCATCACCTAGCTAGCCTGCACTCATAAACTTTGGGCAAAACACAAGAATACCTTCCAATATTCACGAGTGTATGAAGTAGTTACAGAGCTCTTAAAATATCTCGTACCATTGGTCTTGTGTTATTGAAAACAGGAGCGCACAGTGCTGGAGTGAGCGTCCTAGCCCTTGTATACATAGTTTACAGGTAGACTGTTCACCGTCGGGGGATTCACTATACCTGCAGCCACCTGACAAGTATCGGTATCTCAGCCTAATATACTGACACACCTGACGCATACTGACACACCTGACGCATACTGACACAAGTGAAGCATACTGACACACCTGAAGCATACTGACACCTGACACATACTGACACCTGACGCATATACTGACACACCTGACGCATACTGACCTATTCCCGCGCACGACGAGTCATTTATAATTCACTGGACAAGTTTCCTTAACCTGATGCCTCTATTCGCCCGTATAGCAGCAAATACCTAGGAGTTAGTGAACTGTTGTGGGTTGCATCATGGGAAGGTCGTCCAGTGGCTTAGGAGGACCACGACAAACCAACATGCTTCCTGTCCCAGACAATGGCACCAATAATAACAATAATATTAATAGATGCGGGGTTTGTTTACCTTTGGTCTTGGTTATCGTCTTGAAGCCTTCATGTTATCGTTGACATGGAGCAAACCACCGGTTATCGAAACAGTCTTCGCGCCTCTCATTCTTATCAGTGACGAGAAACACATCCTAGTTATCTTATCCTTCATGTCTTCCCTGGTTATCAGTGACACGTAGCAAATACTAAGTTATCTTATTTTTCTTTTCGCCTGCCAGTGTTATCGAGATTGTGGAACTGTACACCCGTTATCTTGTCATCTTTGTTCCTTCCCCCTGTTATCGGTGACGTGGAACAGTTATTTTACCCTTACCCATCAATGTTTATGATGGTCAAGCTCTGACTCTTGGGGTCCGCCTCCTAGTTATTCATACCTAATGATTTTATATTTCTAGTCTTAATTATACTTACTCTCGCAGCAGTGGACGGAGGTAGTATCCCGGTGTACTTGTAGGGATTGTGTATTTACAGGGTCGAGTGCCAACACCTAAGCCCCGCCTTACCACCTGTCGGTTGTCCAATACAGTTACTCCTGCCGACCTTCCATTTTCTACCACATTGAGTGACTTAGCTGGTCCTAAAGTTTCCACCCATGTCCCCTTGTTTTATGAATCTTATATGTTATAAGATTATGTATCTTCTCGATACATAATAGCCTCCAGAATGAGTTTCACGAATTGGGTGGTAAATATTTAATTTGTTATCGCAAAAGCCTCACAATCAATGGATTTTATATTAAAATTCTCCAAAACCATCAATATATTGATTTACAGACGACGCGTCACAAGGTGGATGAAGATATGTTGACCAAACCACACAGCAGAAGATGAAGAGACGACTATGTTTCAGTCAGCCCTGGACCATTATCAAGTCGATTTCGAAAAGCAACGAAATCCTAGAAATAGTCAGACGTAACTTGGATTTCATGGAAAAGAAGGTAGTTAAACAACTGGTCGGCTGATACTAGAATTGTCCTGCATTAAACACGCGCGCACACACTAAATAGCTGGCTAACATCAGAACAGCTTTCAGGAACCTGTGTAAGTAATCTTTCAGAACCTTGTATACCACATATGTAAGACCCATCCAGGAGTATGCGGCCCCAGCATGGAGCCCGTACCTTGTCAAGCACAAGACTAAGCTGGAAAAAGTTCAGAGGTATGCCACTAGGCTAGTCCCAGAACTAAGAGGCATGAGTTATGAGGAAAGGCTGCGTGAACTGCACCTCACGTCGCTGCAAAACAGAGGAGCTCGGGGAGACATGATCACCAGATACAAAATTTTCAGTGGAATTGACAGGGTAGACAAATATGAACTATTTAACACGGGAGTTACACGCACAAGGGGAACACAGGTGGAAGCTGAGTACCCAAATGAGCCAAAAACAATTATAAATAATTTATTTTTTCAGTTCAAAGTACAGTACTTAGTAAATATAAAGCACTAGAAAAAAGAGATGTGGTGGAGGCTGACTCCATACACAGCTTCAAATGTAGATATGATGGAGCTCGAGAAGCTTAGGAATCTGTACTCCAGTCGATTGACTGAGAGGCGGGACCAAAGAGCCGAAGCTCAACTCCCGCAAGCACAACTAGATGAGCACACACAGACACGCGCGCGCACCAAGAGAACAGGGGAAAATTAGTACCCACATGGCCTTCTCCTGCCTCCAAGGAGGATCGAACTCCTGGCCTCTGGTTTACTAGACCAGCGCTCTAGCCACTGAGCTATGGAGGCAGATGTTCTTAATGTGTCGTGCAGGCGAGGCAGCTGTGATGGAGGGACATAACACGTGCAGGTGTCCTCTCTGCTATTATAATTAATGTGGGTATAACACGGAGTGCAGGTGTGATGACTGGGTAGAACACGATACAGTTGTTGTTGATAATTATGTACCACAATGCTATAGATACCTCAGTTTGTTAGTAACATAAAACGTACCTGGGGCCGTACTCCTCACTAGTCTATCACAACACAGCGCCACAGTACCCTACTGTACCACAACACTGCGCCACAGTACCCTACTGTACCACACCACAACACTGCACCACAGTACCCTACTGTACCACACCACAGCGCCACAGTACCCCTACTGTACCACACCACAACACAGCGCCACAGTACCCTACTTTACCACACCACAACACAGCGCCACAGTACCCTACTGTACCACACCACAACACAGCGCCACAGTACCCTACTGTACCACACCACAACACAGCGCCACAGTACCCTACTGTACCACACCACAACACAGCGCCACAGTACCCTACTGTACCACACCACAACACAGCGCCACAGTACCCTACTGTACCACACCACAACACAGCGCCACAGTACCCTACTGTACCACACCACAACACAGCGCCACAGTACCCTACTGTACCACACCACAACACAGCGCCACAGTACCCTACTGTACCACACCATCACCACAATTACTCCATCCCACTGTCACTATACTGAACACCACAACATTACATTAAAATAATGTTCTTTCTAATACTACCTTTCAGGTAGTAGTTAGGGTAGTTAACAAATGGAATGCATCGTGATGTGGTGGAGGCAGACTACAGATATGATAAAGCCCAATAGGCTCGGAAAACTGTACACCATTTGATTGAAGATCGAGAGGCGGAACCAAAGAACCGAAGCCCAACTCTCACAAATACAACTAGGCGAGTACAAATATATCTCATTATTGTAGATGGCTTTTATCCAATTACCAACATCTGCCTCCATAGCTCAGTGGCTAGAGCGCTGGTCTAGTAAACCAGAGGCCAGGAGTTCGATCCTCCTTGGAGGCAGAATGTGTCTCAGGTGAGGCGATGTTTTGAATATACACTTCGCTCTAAGCTTAGATGTCCTTCCATATGTGCTCAGGTGTGTTGTAGTGAACAGTCTTAACGGAACAGTCTTAACCCACGAGTTTGTGTTGCTGGCAACTAGTCCGTGGGCTCTTCCGCCTTATCGAACTCAAATTTCCTATTAGGCTTCGAAGGCGCCTTGCATTTATAAACTGAAAAATGGTATTTCAGTGAGGAACAGTTCACGTATTTTGGGATTTCACAGTAATACCAGATGGCTTAAGTCTACTGGTATACCGTTGTTGGGGACAGGAAGCCTCCTGGGATTATCCAAGGCCCTTATCGCAGCCTAGTTTATTAGTTTAGCTCACTTATTATGCAACACCTACATAATGCAATACTCTTTCTCGCTTCTTCAAATGTCTTTTCATTGTTGTTCTTATAACATTCCTCTCTTTCCATTTTTAATTATCATTTCCTTTTGACTTTGGTATAAACCTCGCATGAACTTTCACCACTGCAATCGGCTCCTTTCCTTGATGCTTTCCTTGCACATTTCCCACGCTATAACAAATTCCAGCTCATCCCCGCTAGCACTACACGATGAGAACACCTCATTATGTAGGTGTCCAGCATTCCACTTGGGGCCAAAGTATTATTCACATTCAATAAGTGATTTCCTATTAAAGATAAGATACAAGTGAAACCAGTATTGCTTAATTACGTCTTCATTATCGTATCTCACCATGATTCCTCAGCCCGATAAGCCTTTAGCTCAACAATAAAGTCGTCGTATTCTTCTTAATGTACTTCAAACTCAACATTGCAGCAATTATTATCATCTACATCCATTTTTTTCCTCCGAGTTGTGATATGAATTTTTGTTATCAGGAGATAAGCCGCCATGTTTGGAGTAGTTTATCTTCTCAGCCCGTCCTGTATGCATGAGTTATGATGTGGCCCGAGATAAGAGATAGGGAGAGGCAGCATGGTTAGGCAATACTAGTTAAGTTAGTCGATAGCTGGTGGTGAGGGTCCAGCCATCACTAACGCCACACCGTACCACCCACATTACGTCCTAACCCGCACAGCTGTCAGCGGCTTAAGGATTAGAGGATTGAAAAGAGTGAAAATTATCATAGATTGAACATTGAAAATACGTTGATGAGGTTAAAGCGAGTTCACAACATGTTGACGAGTCAAGAGTTAAAAACAGTGTCAAAAACTGGTCATAACCCAAGATAATGTTGAACTAAACATCTAAATAGTCTGTGTTAATTTATTCGTAAGCTGTACAGACTCAACTAGCAGGAAAGTCAGAACAATTTATTCTAAATGACTGGCGGAAAAGAAAGATGACAAAAGCCTAGCAACTGGAAGAGGGGGGGTTGGGGTGGGGGAGTGGAAGGCCTAGGCTATTCGGTCCAGTCAAGCTTCGGGTTTTGAAAATGAGGCTGTCACTGAGGAGTTAATATTCGAGTTACGTATTAATTTTTACGGATTAATTGACGAATTCAAGCAACGAACGAGGGCCGTACTGGATTATAAAAATAATTAAATTATTATAATAATCACAAATTTTGACCAAAGGAATTTTTTTTAATAAAATTGCCCTCTGAACTAGGAAATATTGTGAACTGAACCGGTGAATCAGAACTCTTGGATAGTATTCAAATATAAACAGCAAAATTAAAATATGTATCAAGTTTAAAATATGCCATAGCAAAAATCGTAAGGCCATAGAATATGCCATCTGCTGAAAAATCATTGACGATATTTTGAATTCATTGAATTGTATAAACTAATATTGTAAATTCAATAAGCTTTATACCCACATTTAGATTAAACAACCGGAGACCACAGAAAAATGACATCGATTGAGGAGCTGGTTCGCGAGGCTGAGCAAATAGAGTTCTGTTTAAGTCCAGAGAGCGAATTGGAGGGAGTTCTTCGCACGCTCCAAGCCTTCCAGCAGGAGTCCACCAGGAAGCTCCAAGACATCCAGAAACAAAAACATTGCGACAGGAGCCAACAAAACGGCACAGAGCAAGATCAATACGCGGAAGGTCAGGAAAAGGCAGAGTTTGGATGTGACGGACTTCCAGGATGCGATGCCAAGAGACAAGATGACGGTGCTGGGATTCAAGCGGAAGGTTGGAGGTCGCAGAAACATGACAACATTAAGGTGCCAAACTACGACCCGGACAAACAAGAAGATGGCGGTAGACGACAAGACAACACCAAGACGTTATATGATAGTGTTAAGATAGATAATGATGGTGAATTACTCAATGATAGGAATTTGGAACACAGAGATGCAAATGATGAAAGAAGCGAAGGTCATGGTGGCTACAGTGGTGAAGAAGGTAACAGTAGTGATTGTGAAGTGAAGGAGGCTGAGAAGTCCCTGGCGGAGGCGCTGCAGGTACTGACGTGTCTCAACCTTCTACCTGATGACACCGGCGTCAGCAAGAGATATTCAGGTGAATCACAGAGGCGGGGGAGAGTAGCCGAGGCAACAGGTAGTGGGGGCATCTTGTACCTGATGGAACAGGCAGAGTATCTTTTAACTAATACAATTGGTAGTTCTTAAGTAAATTAGTAGACAAACCGTCCATGAAGTACAGATAGGAAAGTGAATGGAAAAATGAGCTTAGAGTTTCAGATTATTTCTTGAGTAGGGCAGAGGTAGTAGGCTGGGCAGGAGGGCGTTGGGAAAGAAGAGGCGCTTGTTAGATTTTGTTAGTGTAATTAGGTTATTACGAATCCCAAGCCCATCCCGTGGGTGGCGATGGTAGGGCTAAACAAAAATGACAAAATGTAACCCGTTCTTAGGCTATGGCTCGTCCAAGCTGCTGTAGGCGCAGAAAGCATATTCTTTAATTTTTTCATCCGGTGTAATAAAGACAGCCATTGTCAAATTTAAAAATTGATATTATATATTATGGTTTAGTGTATATATGACAATTATTTGCATTTAGAGTACGGTGGTGAAGAATCCCTTCCTTAGGCTAGTTCGGCTAACCTCCAGACATAGATTTTAATATACAGTATAATTAAAAACAGTATTTTCTCGTATATAAATTGATATTAAAATAATAGAAGAGGGTACTCGGCGCTGCCCGGGATAGTCTGTTTCTCCCCCACGTCCTGTTCCTTCTTTTCTGCCCCGTCTCTCTCCCTCCAACACCTCTTCCCTCCCATCTCTCCATTTTCCCCTTCTCCCCGCGCAACCTCACCCAACATAATAAGAGCAAGCATGAGTAAGTTTATAATTAATGAAATATTCAAAGAATAAAATTATTACCCATTTGTTTTGAATCTGCGGGGAGGTGGTGGGCGGAGGCAAGAGAGCAGTATTGAAGTTTCGTGTTTTATGATGCTAAGGCTAAAGTATGAATAGCAAAACATTTATGTTAATTTTCCCGACATCAGTGAATAATAGTGAATATTATTATAAGGAAAAAAATCATCGTTTTGATTTTATTTTTCAAGGTATTTAACTAGGCAAAGCCGAAGGTCAGTGCCGTCGTGGGGGTTAGTGCCGTGGCACACTGTTCCCTCTTGAATAACTGTAAGAAAAGTTCGAACATAATTGGTTAAGAAGCAGCCCGTCCTCGTCGACAAAGACCAAGTGTTCATTCTATGCAACCGTCAAACCACCTGTGTTTTTTTTTAATGAAAAATGCTTTATACATGACTCGCAAGTGATGGTGATGGAGCATTTCTCGGACAGTATTTCGCTAACGACCTCTGTTCGAATAGCAACTCTGTAAATGCTTCACCTATATACTACAAATGCAAATAATGCCAACAGAACCTAAATAACTAATCAAATGTACGCCTAACTATACATACAACTTTAATATATGATAATATTAACATATGAGAACAAACCTAATTTTAAAACAGGATGTTAAAATTTATAAATGTCTTTGGGTACGGACCCCGCTTCAACGAGCCTAGCCGTTGAAGAGGGCTTTCCGGTGAAAGGAAATATGGCGAACAGTTTCTGTCCTACCCGAGGATCGAACTGGGTCCTTCAATTGTGAACCCGAGACTGTGAACCACTGTGCAGCCCGATTAAGTATATAAAAATGTCAAAAACAAACTCGCCATTGCTGTTATTTTAATTTATGTATAATGATGTTCGCAGAGCATCGAGCCGCCCGTCCAAGGATCCTGTCTCTGGGGCTGCGGGCGTCCTCACCCTCCCACACCTCACCAGGTGAGGCTGGAGGACCAACCCTCCCCAACACCGTATGGGGCTGTCATAGAGGTGTCACTGTATTGTCCGATTGTAAGTTCCTTTGTATGTAATGTCTATTACTAACGTTTACACGACGTGGAAGGCAGGACGGTTATCCGAGTGGTCCCCGTCTTTGATCATGACAGGCGAACGTGGTCCAGAGGTGAAGCACACCTTTGAGAGAGTTTGGTGTTAAACAGAAGTATATGGAGTTCAGTCACTTTGTTCTCAGGTGTCAATGATGATGTCACCATCTATACACATTCCTAAAATAATGTGGTTCCTTTTCTAAGTTTTATGTTTATGATTGATGAAGAGTAAGCCACCCAAAAGGTGGCACGGGCATGAGTAGCCCGTAATATGTTTATGATTAAATTTCTAAGGTTAATTGATAACTTGATAATACCAATTATCTTGGTATTAAAGAATGTATAAACATCAACATTCACAAGAAATTTGAAATTATAGTAAATTGAGCAGACATGTCCATAGGAGTCGCCCGACTACAGCTGTAACCGGCTGTATAGTCAATTAAGACATGTAGGTGGGCCAGACCTTCATTTAGTCAAGTTGCAGTTCAAATAGTAAAGGAACGCTTTCATTTAATGCTCCTAATAATGCATTTCTGTCATCAAAATGTGTGTGGTAGGTGATGCAACAATCTGGTTAAATACTGATAGGCTATCAGAGCATGTTGTCTGTATGGCTCACGCTGCAGTAATGGTTACCAAACTGGTTACCGCAGATAAAAGATACTGTACTGCAATAAACTGTGTCAAGTAAATAATTCGCATACCCTCTGTCACTATGTGATGGAGTGAGAAAAGATACGTGAATTCAGAGACAACTCTATAACGAATCTTCATGAAAGGTGTAAATATTTCATTCAAAATTATCTACTACCAGAAATTTTAGCCAAATATCTCCAATTTGTTAACTATTGTATATAGGTAGTAAATGTGGGCGATTGTCATGGTCGGTCTCGAAGTCATTGTTGATGTACCAATATATATTAAATTTAGTAATCAGCCCATCAAGACCTAACTTGCTTAGCTAAATGAATTGTGGGGTTCAGTCCCTGAGCCCATTATGTGCCTCTGTAACACTTTCCACTACCGCCCACAGAATGGGTATGGGGTGCATAATAAGTGAACTAAACTTTCAACAATGATAATGATATATTCAAATTATTATATTTTATTATTTATTTTAATATTAATAAATTATTGATCTTTACAACTATATTAAAAGAAAACGTAAACAAAAAACCGTAAGAAAGAAAACGTAACCAATTATGTTAGGGCAAACTAATATATTTAATCTTCTAGTTGGTGTTTAAAATACACTGATTCGTCATTTATAATATCAACGATGAAAACAATAGCGGTTTAACAATATTATTATAATAATGTACCGCAAACTGCGAAAATAGTATTTATTTAGATGATTAAATAAATACATTGGATAGACCAGCCACGTTTCTTTACAATTTAAATTTTGTGGAACATTTAATAATACTTTCATAATATTTTCTGATAATTATCATAAGGTTTATTTTCTCTACCCTTGGCATCTTTAATAGTATCTTTATGTTGACCAGACCACACACACTAGAAGTTGAAGGGACGACGACGTTTCGGTCCGTCCTGGACCATTCTCAAGTCGATTGTGATGAGGAGGTAGTCACAATCGACTTGAGAATGGTCCAGGACGGACCGAAACGTCGTCGTCCCTTCAACTTTTAGTGTGTGGTCTGGTCAACATACTTCAGCCACGTTATTGTAACTTATCGCCTGCATAGTATCTTTATCTTGCAGCGAGTGGTGAGGGCGCGGCGGAGGTAGGGTGGCCAGGGTCCCAGAGGACACCACATCTATGGCGGCAGGTGGCGGAGGAGCCGCGGGAGAGCCAGCCGCCCCACACAAGGGTGAGGTTCGACATGAATGCCCTCAACCGGGAGCTGGCCAACCTCCTCACCATGGTTAGTGGCGCCTCCCTGGCATCCCTCCCAAGTTGAGTGTTCAATAAACCCTTGAACTATATGTTTAGCACTTCTCTAACCCTGGCCATGGAGGACACAAGAAAATGTATATATGCTGGTTAGCATTGTAAATGTGTGGCCACGTCTGTGGTAGAAAATAATAATAAAAAAATAAATAAAATCCCTCCCAAGTGGATCACAACGGCGAACAAACTTATTTTCTGAAATATTTATCGAGTGAATTTTTAGGCTATCGAAAGCGACTTTCATGATTGCATTTGTTACAGGTTATGTTTATAATTTTTTTGGTTGCCTTTCTTGCAGTTTGACCACGTTACTGCTAAGCCTACCGCCTCCCTTGTCCTTCTTTGACATTACTTTGTCAAAGGCGAACATTTCATACTCGCAAAGAATTTATATAAACGTTAATTTAAGTTACACAAGTGTGTTCTTACAATGTTAGTAAATACGCACAAAGTTTCTGCCACATGACCTTCCTATATAAAAATGTTCCCTCGATCTCTTTGATCAAAGGAACAATTCTCGTTCCCTCAATACCACCTCTTGGGTGGCTTAACCTTCATCGATCAATCAATCTCGTTGTTGTTAACTAACTTAAATCAAATGTTTATTCAGGTTAAAGTACATACATGCAAGATGACTTCCAAACATAATGTTGGATTTATAGAGCTGATACATACAATGCCTAAAGCCACTAATACGCTCAGCGTTTCAGGCAAGTTGGACAGTCATAGCTTCCATAGGACAAAAACCTCTCTACACACACTTAATCCAACTTAATTAAGACGCTATACATGGCAAAGTCTGAACCGAGGTCTAGTAGAATTTACCGACTCAATTTATATGCATTTTTTAACTATTGGAATCTGCCTCGATACGACAGGGGAGCTTGGCTAGGTTCATACGATCATAATTAGCTGTTTGTTAAATAAGAGCTGACTGCCTTAAGAACCCTGCTAATGTAACATTTTCTTGCACCACCACTAACCCTCTCCCTACCTTCTTGACAGACGGGAGAGGACCCGCTGATGTTAGAACATTCTTCCCTGTTAAACGTCCCTGTCACGCCCCCGCCCACGCCCGTCTTCAACACCAACTACGCCCCAGAGGATCAGGAATACCTCCCTCCTTTCAAAATCATGCCAGGCCCGCCGCCCCCCAAGCCTCCAAGAGTTAAATTCCCCGCGAACGAGATTTTCCACGCTCAAACGGGCCAACTGTCCAAATCGACTGGGAACCTGGCCCACGAGGACTCCCAGAGAAAGCATCAAAGCCTCTCGGCTCATGCGCTCAGCCCTGGTGAGAGAAAAGAGAACATCCTTCTCGCCTCCATCAAGAGAAAAGGCATGAGGGCTCGCGTACGCAGCTTCACGAAAAAGAAAGTCAAACGAGTCAAGAGTTTGGACATCAGCGGACCTACTGAGTTCAGGCATGTAGCAGGGGCGCTCGCGCTCAAGGGAGTGGACGCCGCAGACGATGGCGGAGAACATGATAGCCAACCCTTTACACTTGTGCCGGAAACTGAAGAAGCAGGCGCTCACAGACAAGAGCGAATTGCCTCGGAAACAGAAGATTCGCAATCAACAGACACGACGTCAACAGAAACCCAAACAGACGATACCGGCTCAACAGAAGCTATACCAGCAGACGGCACTAGTTCAATAGAAGAGACGCCAACAGACGACACTAATTCAACAGAAGCTACGCCAACAGACGGAACCAGTTCAATAGAAACTACGCCAACAGAGGGCACTAGTTCAACAAAAAGTACGCCAACAGACGACACTAGTTCAACAGAAGCTACGCCAACAGACCCAATAGGCAACACTGGTTCAACAGAAGCTACGCTAACAGACCCAACAGACGACACTGGTTCAACAGAAGCTACGCCAACAGATGACACTGCTTCAACAGGAGCAACGCCAACAGACAACACTGGTTCAACAGAAGCTACGCTAACAGACCCAACAGACGACACTGGTTCAACAGAAGCTACGCCAACAGACGACACCGGTTCAACAGAAGCTACGCCAACAGACAATGGTTCAACAGAAGCTACGCCAACAGACAACACTGGATCAACAGAAGCTACGCTAACAGACCCAACAGACGACATTGATTTAACAGAAGCTTCGCCAACAGACCCAATAGACAACACTGGTTCAACAGAAGCTACGCCAACAGACGACACTGCTTCAACAGAAGCTACGCCAACAGAGCATACTGGATGAACATGAACTAAACCAACAGACTGAATAACAGTGACAATTCCATAGACAAAATTGCCAAAGAAGAGTACCGCAACGGAAGTCGATATAAAAAACGGCACAACGGACACCAGCATTCACAGACACAAACAGAAACAAAAGGTATAGAAGATAATAAACAGATACTAGAATGCCCAAATACTGATAAAGCTAGAACTCTCAGATGCTATTTTTTAAAACGTCTAGTAAACACATACACAAGGATTCAGGGGGCCATGTGTAAACACATACACAAGGATTCAGGGGGCCATGTGTAAACACATACACTAGGATTCAAGGGGCCATGTGTAAACACATACACTAGGATTCAAGGGGCATGTGTAAACACATACACTAGGATTCAAGGGGCATGTGTAAACACATACACTAGGATTCAAGGGGCCATGTGTAAACACATACACTAGGATTCAAGGGGCCATGTGTAAACACATACACTAGGATTCAGGGGGCCATGTGTAAACACATACACTAGGATTCAGGGGGCCATGTGTAAACACATACACTAGGATTCAGGGGGCCATGTGTAAACACATACACTAGGATTCAAGGGGCCATGTGTAAACACATACACTAGGATTCAGGGGGCCATGTGTAAACACATACACTAGGATTCAGGGGGCCATGTGTAAACACATACACTAGGATTCAAGGGGCATGTGTAAACACATACACTAGGATTCAAGGGGCATGTGTAAACACATACACTAGGATTCAAGGGGCCATGTGTAAACACATACACTAGGATTCAAGGGGCCATGTGTAAACACATACACTAGGATTCAAGGGGCCATGTGTAAACACATACACTAGGATTCAAGGGGCCATGTGTAAACACATACACTAGGATTCAGGGGGCCATGTGTAAACACATACACTAGGATTCAAGGGGCCATGTGTAAACACATACACTAGGATTCAGGGGGCCATGTGTAAACACATACACTAGGATTCAGGGGGCCATGTGTAAACACATACACTAGGATTCAGGGGGCCATGTGTAAACACATACACTAGGATTCAAGGGGCCATGTGTAAACACATACACTAGGATTCAGGGGCCATGTGTATAGCTGCAAATACTCATAGGAGGAAAAAGATCCACTTTAAATATACAGAGTAATGATTTTGATACCTTTCCTACGCTCAGACCCAGACCTCACAACCTGATAACGACATCTCTATACAGAGTTCTTCCCGCCTATTGCCTTACTCAGTGATTCGATGGTATCCATTATTCCCTATTATTTTTTGTACCTGTGTGATTACTTCACTTTACCCAAACACAACTTCATCTCTTTCCATGTGTTTTTAAGATAAATTTTGCACTTTGAATATGTTACGGGTTACTCATGCCCGTGCCACCTCTTGGGTGGCACGGGCATGAGTAACACGGGCACGGGCGTGCCACCTCAATCAATCAATCTTTGTATATTCATTCCTGACTAAGATATTCCTGAGTGAAACGAAACGTTGTAAAAAAAATAAACCCTTCAATAATTAGTAAAGTTTCTTTACCATTAATTTCGGTACCTTGACTGTTCTCCTTAATCCCAGGAGTAAGACAACAGTTAGAAGCATAGAAGGTTATCTTGAGAGGTTATCTTGAGATGATTTCGGGGCTTTTTAGTGTCCCAGCGGTCCGGTCCTCGACCAGGCCTCCACCCCCAGGAAGCAGCCCGTGACAACTGACTAACACCCAGGTACCTATTTTACTGCTATGTAACAGGGGCATAGGGTGAAAGAAACTCTGCCCATTGTTTCTCGCCGGCACCCGGGATCGAACCCGGGACCATAGGATCACAAGACCAGTGTGCTGTCCGCTCGGCCGACCGGCTCTAGAAGGCTTATATTATAAGATATAAGCTAGCAATGCGGTCATACTTAACCAAATATGCTTAAGCAACACCTGCTCCCAGAGAATACAAAAGTTATGTAATTATATGACCTATAATTATAACTATAACCTAACCTAACTAACTAACTAACCTAACCTAACCTAACCTAACCTAACCGCACATCAGAGTTTGAGTTAGTTTAGTTCATTTATTATGCACCTCATACCTATCCTGTGAGCGGTAGTGGAAAGGGTTACAGAGGCACATAATGGGCTCAGGGACTGAACCCCACAAATCATTTAGCTAAGCAAGTTACAATCTTGATGAGCTAGTTACAAAATTCAATATAAGTCGTCACATCAACAATGGATTCGAGATCGACCACAAGTACAGGTTCTACACCTCAGAAAATGATGACACGACGAGGTTTGGGCTCGTGCTGGACCATTATCAAGTTGGGTAATGGAGAGTGGCAGAGACAACTATTATGGTTGGTAATGGTCCAAGACGGACCGAAATGTTGTCGTTTATCCAGTTTCAGATGTGTGGTTTGGTTATCGTGGGTGGACAGCGCTTCGGATTCGTAGTCCTGAGGTTCCGGGTTCGATTCCCGGTGGAGGCGGAGACAAATGGGCAAAATGTTTCTTTCACCCTTGATGCCCCTGTTACCTAGCAGTAAATAGGTACCTGGGAGTTAGCTGCTACGGGCTGCTTCCTGGGAGTGTGTAACAAAAGGGAGGCCTGGTCGAGGACCGGGCCGCGGGGACGCTAAGCCCCGAAATCATCTCAAGATAACCACAAGATAACCCACGTTATTGAGACATCCTCAGCCACACACACAGAATTATTATTATTAATATATATATATATATATATATATATATATATATATATATATATATATATATATATATATATATATATATATATATATATATATATATATATATTTATATATATATGACAATGTCAGACCACGAAGGAAAAATGAAACAGGAAATTTCCTTAAGTACTTTCGTATATTAAATACATCTTCAGAAGGACCTTCTGAAGATGTATTTAATATACGAAAGTACTTAAGGAAATTTCCTGTTTCATTTTTCCTTCGTGGTCTGACATTGTCACATTCTTAATCACGTGTTTATTTTCGTGATATACACACACACACATATATATATATATATATATATATATATATATATATATATATATATATATATATAATCAAATGCCTTGGCAAGTATGTAAGTACTTAGGAAGGCCTTTCTTTGCATAAATAGAGTTAGTGGAGGGAGGAGGAAGTAGTGTAGAGAGAAATGTGAGAGTAAGGGAGGGAGAGAAGCAGGAGGGGTTAGGAGGAAAGGGAACAGAAGATAGAGAGGGTCTTAACTGTTAACTGTTAGCGTTAATCAATACTCTGACACCACAACAACGTCGTCATTGGTGTAGAATAAACAGCAATGCATCTAATGCCTTGGATTAGATTTAATGCCCGAAACGCTGTGCGTATTAGTGGCTTTAGGCATAGTATGTACTAACTCTTATCTAGAAATCCAACTTTATGTTTGCAACTCATTTTGAATGTATGCCCTTTTCCCTGAATAAGCATTTATTGAGATATATATATATATATATATATATATATATATATATATATATATATATATATATATATATATATATATATATATATATATATATATATATAATCCAATATATTAGATGAATTGGGATTTTAATATATTACTAATAGATAAAATATTAGATATTAACCATATAGGAATATGGCTCAAACCGGAGAGGATAGGGACTTGTGGACCCACAGGTCTGGTCTGTTGAGGATAGTAAGTCTCCTATCTCTGTCCAGAAGAGGGGCATCGTATGCCGTCCCCCCAGTCTCCCCTTCTCCACGATAAAAGTTGTGACACAATAAGGATGAGGAGGAACGAGGGAAGGAGGATGAGGATAAAAAGAGGGGAGGGAAGAGAAGATAGGGGTGACGAGGGGAGAGGCGGGGGATTAGGGGAGAGGCGGGGGAGGGGAGAGGCGGGGGAGGGGAGGGGAGAGGCTAGGGGTGAGAGTCTTTCAAAGGGTCAATTGGGATAATCTGGACTACAAAAGATGAATCGAAGGAAGTCCGGAGAGCGTAAAACTGTTATCACACTCACCCCCACCACCCCCACGTCCCGCCCCACACCACCCCCACGTCCCGCCCCCACACCACCCCCACGTCCCGCCCCCACACCACCCCCACGTCCCGCCCCCACACCACCCCCACGTCCCGCCCCACACCACCCCCACGTCCCGCCCCCACACCACCCCCACGTCCCGCCCCCACACCACCCCCACGTCCCGACCCACACCACCCCCACGTCCCGCCCCCACACCACCCCCACGTCCCGCCCCACACCACCCCCACGTCCCGCCCCACACCACCCCCACGTCCCGCCCCCACACCACCCCCACGTCCCGCCCCCACACCACCCCCACGTCCCGCCCCCACACCACCCCCACGTCCCGCCCCCACACCACCCCCACGTCCCGCCCCCACACCACCCCCACGTCCCGCCCCCACACCACCCCCACGTCCCGCCCCCACACCACCCCCACGTCCCGCCCCCACACCACCCCCACGTCCCGCCCCACACCACCCCCACGTCCCGCCCCCACACCACCCCCACGTCCCGCCCCACACCACCCCCACGTCCCGCCCCCACACCACCCCCACGTCCCGCCCCCACACCACCCCCACGTCCCGCCCCCACACCACCCCCACGTCCCGCCCCCACACCACCCCCACGTCCCGCCCCCACACCACCCCCACGTCCCGCCCCCACACCACCCCCACGTCCCGCCCCCACACCACCCCCACGTCCCGCCCCCACACCACCCCCACGTCCCGCCCCACACCACCCCCACGTCCCGCCCCCACACCACCCCCACGTCCCGCCCCACACCACCCCCACGTCCCGCCCCCACACCACCCCCACGTCCCGCCCCACACCACCCCCACGTCCCGCCCCACACCACCCCCACGTCCCGCCCCACACCACCCCCACGTCCCGCCCCACACCACCCCCACGTCCCGCCCCCACACCACCCCCACGTCCCGCCCCACACCACCCCCACGTCCCGCCCCACACCACCCCCACGTCCCACCTACACCATCCGTTATTAATTCCCGTTATTAGCGATAGGAGGACTGTTTTATGTTTATCGAGGTCCCCCCCACCCCCCCTCTCTTCCAACTCTTCCTGCTAATAGAGCGTTGAATTGTGACGTATTATCTCCCGAATGCCCAAAATTGCACTAGAAAATGGTAGCGTCCCACGAAATTGGGATACTGTCCCGTCTTCTGTTTTAGGTCCTCTGGTAGGTTAGGATACTGGCACTCTAGTACGACACGGCACAGCCCCGCTCCTGTGCCAGGTGAACCACTACGGGCTCACCATAGCCCGTGCTACTTGCCCCGCTCCTGTGCCAGGTAAGTTACGGGCTCGCCATAGCCCGTGCTACTTGGAACTTGTTTCGAGTAGCTGAATCTATAACAACATAGTAGAACAGTTTCTTGACGTTGAGAAACCATAGGAGGACGGGCTGGACATTCCCCAGAGTGCAACTAACAACACATGGTAAACTCAAGGGTACCAGTTTACTGCAAGATAAACAGGTGTATCAGGTGAAAGGAAACTTTGCTCAGTCGTTTCTGTCCTGCCCAGGGATTGAAGCCGGGTTGTAAGGCGAGGACGTAGACCACCTTGCTACAGGATTATATAATTCGTCTGAAATTTACATTACTCCAGACACGGGATTCTGTTATCTTGCAAGTGAGAGAAAGTTGAAAGTTGTACCGAGGACTTGTATAAGCCTAACTGTCCCTGAGAATGGGAACCCCAATTGTCGTTATAAAATGGCTTGTCAGTCTATTAAAAAACGATTCAGAACCCTGTAGTAACACACTCAATAAAAATGTATTATAAAAACAAATCCAGAACTTGTGCGCCATGGAGGACTTGGCGAGGCGAGCGGATATTATCGTGAGCAGGTCGGGTTCCCTGCTAGCCACAATTACGAGGGTGATGAAGAGGTCAGATACGACGCAGGACGGACACGGTGGCGCTTTGTTGCAGTCTGCCCTTAATGACGCCTCGTTTTCTGTAGCCACATTCACGGTGAATGACGGGGTCAATATTTGGCTTCCTATTGTCGGGGACACGACGGCTGTTAGGGTT